CATTCACAAGAATGCTTGTTGATCCAGAATATGTCAATGAACATCTTTCACAGATTAGGTCTCCGACCTCATCGCCTAATGTTGGAACCTCAACAAGCACACAACCACAAGGCATTCTTGATTCTCTTGACCCAAACAATGTTGATGTTTTTGGGGATGCGGAGATGAATGATACTGATGAAGATGTAATTGAAGCTCGTGATAAGGCAATCAAAGAAAGTGCTCCCACTAAGACTTCAATGAAGTGTCGCAAGTTGATCCACATTTGAATAACTCATGGATGACTTGGTTAGGAAATGAGACATATAACAATTAGGGGGGGAGTTTGAGGTTGGATAGCAGTTTGACTCATTGCAACAACTGAAAGATGCTGTGAAATCTTACTCCATAGCTAGAAATCAAACAATTCGAGTTATGGAGGCAGAGCCAGAAAAATATGTTGTTGAGTGCAAGAGGAAAGAACAATGTAGTTGTTCGTGGAGGCTTAGAGGAGTGAAAGATCCAACACTCTGTACGTTTAAAGTTGTGCGGTACAACGGCCCTCATGCAAGTAACTGTGTTGGTGACATCGACTCGGTGGATCATAAGCTACTCACTTCTGAGTTCGTTTGCAATGCTCTTCTAGATGTCATTTGCGTTGATCCGTCATTGAAAATCAAGACAATGGTGCAACTTGTGAAAGAGAAGTTTAATGGATTCCAAATATCCTACAAGAGAGCATGGCTAGCGAAACAAAAGGCATTAAAACTCATTTATGGGGATTGGGAGGGTTCATATGAACAGTTGCCTAAGTACATGCAAGCTCTTAAGGAATCAAATCCTGGAACTGTTGTTGAGTGGAGGTTGTTAGAGAGTACGGTTCCTGGAACACATCTTTTCCAACGAGTTTTTTGGGCATTCAAGCCATGTATTGATGGATTCCGTCATTGCAGGCCCCTTATCACCATTGATGGAACTCATTTATATGGCAAATACAAAGGGACTCTACTTATTGCTATGGGAACCGATGCTAATTTTCAACTATTCCCCCTCGCTTTTGCGGTTGTCGAAGGAGAAAACAATGATAGATGGTCTTGGTTCATGGCTTGTATTCGAGCTCGAGTAACAGATAGGAAAGGGCTATGTGTGATATCTGATAAACATGCTGGTATTTTAGCACAATGGAAGAGGTTGGAAGTGGTTGGGAGGAGCCCAATGCCTACCACAAGTACTGCACACGGCAGTTGGCTTCTAATGTGAACTCAAAATTTAAAAGTGTCATCATAAAGAACCTCTTTGGCAAAGCAGCTACTGCAAGGCAGAAGAAGAAGTTTGATTACTACATCAACAAAATTGGTGACTTTAATGTAGAGGCCCATAGGTACTTGATGGAAATTCCGTACAGTAAGTGGTCTATTCATCATGATGGTGGTTTCAGGTTTGGTGTGAAGACTACAAACATGTCGGAAGTTTTCAATGGAGTCTTAAAAGGGGCTCGTTGTCTCCTGATAGTTGCTTTAGTGAAAATGACCTTTTTTCGAGTTAACTCCTATTTTGCAACCAGACGAAGTTGGAGTAAAAGAAGACTTGAAGAGGGCCATGAGTTATCAGAAAAGGCTATGAAGACAATAGAAGCCAACATGGAGAAAGCCATGCACCATGAGGTTGTTGCTTTTGACTATGATGCCATAGGGTTATATCAGGTTAGGACTGGTCGTGGGAGGAGAAAAGCTGGTAAAGGTGGTAACTCCCACACTGTGAATCTGTTGAGCAAGACATGTACTTGTGAGAAATTGAAAATATACAAGTTGCCATGCTCTCATGTCCTAGCAGTTTGTCGTCATCGAAGCCTATCACACTCAGACTTTGTGGATTCTTTTTTTAGGATCGCCGAATATAGACTTTCATACTTGAAGTGTTTCGCACCAGTTCCTTATCCTTGCCACAGTCAACTTACAATGGGCCTACTGCTATAGCGGCAACCCAGATTTGAAAAGAGGCCCAAGCCGACGGTCCACTAGAATCCGAAGTGAAATGGATGAGCGTCCCTATCGTGTCAAGAAGGCATGCAGTGTTTGTCGGCGACCTGGGCATAACAAGAAAACATGTCCTACTTTTAGTGGTGGTTTTGGATCATCTGAGTAACGACCATTACATATTGCTAACATGATTAATTATTTATTCTTGTTTAATATTTATGTTTTTTTTTCGCACGCTTAACATTAATTCAATTTTCTGTTATCATGTAGGTCCCATGGATCCAGTGATTCGACCAGGCCCAATTGATCCATCTGTTCTACGGTTGCAGACTTCCCATAGGAGTCATGATGTTTGGACTGGCGTGGCTGATAGAGTTCTCTCAGTTAGGGAGCATGTGGTCAGCGTGGGACGTGAGTGGAGGGTAGAGGGTGGAGTACTAGACTACGTGAGGCGTGTTGGGTTTACGGTGTGCATAGGATTTTAGGAGGAGGGTTTTTGCTTGACCGTTCTCTTCTTACTGCGTTGGTTGAGAGGCGGAGTCAGGAGACACATATTTTCCATCTTGTGGTGGGAGAGGCCACCATTACTTTACAGGATGTCGCCGTGCTGTTAGGTCTGAGAGTACACGGCCCACCTGTCATTGGACCTCCGTTTGAGGGATGGCATGACCTTGTTGAGGATTTGCTGGGAGTTCGACCTGGCGTTGATGATAGGGGTAAGCCGTTTTTGGAGGGATCTACTTTGAAGTTGACGTGGCTCAGACGTCACTTCTCACAGATGCCAGAGGGAGCTGATGACGTAACTATTCAGCGATATAGCCGCGCTTACATTCTCACTCTCATGGGATCTATTCTCTTCGCCGATAAGAGTGGCGATGCTGTGTCACTCTACTACTTGCCGTTACTTAGAGACTGGGAGACAGCTTTGACCTACAGTTGGGGGAGTGCGACTCTTGGTTTTTTGTACCGGAAGCTATGTCGAGCATGTCAGAGAGGAGCGTGTCAGATTGGAGGCCCACTCATCCTACTTCAGTTGTGGTCGTGGGAGCATATTACTATTGGTCGACCATACGTTAGGAGGCCTCGAGATCCGCCACAGGAGGACCTTGAGGATGAGGATGACATTTTAGGGACTCAGCATGAGCGAGGTGTTGACCCTTTGGCGTGCAGGTAAAATGTTTGCTTTAAGTTCATGTTCTTACAGTTCTGTCTCTCGAGAATTATTATTAACGAGTTTTTACAGGTGGTTACAAGTCCGATCCATCTCTCGTGTGCGCATACTGCTTCTGGACTATCATATTACTGAGATGCGTTTGACCATCAGCGTGAGGACCAGGTATAATCGGTGTTTCCTTTTTTTTTTGTTCATTGTTTTTCGTTCATTAAATGATTTGGCAGCCATATACTGAGGCGGTGATGGACCGACTTCCGGAGATTTGTCGCTCTGACATGCACATTTGGCGTACACGAGCACCTCTGATTTGCTTTGACGTCGTTGAGTTCCACCTCCTAGACCGAGTCCTTCGTCAGTTCGGGTTAGAGCAGCCGATCCCAGAGGCAGTTGATGCGGACGTTGCTCTACACGAGAAGGATCGAAGGGGACAACGTAATTGGGAGATTCGGCATTCGGACCATGTACACGAGTGGAGTCGACGAGAGGCATAAGTCGTCCAGGGAAACCCGTTCACTGGGACTTCTTCCCTAGCCATGACAGAGTACATAGCTTGGTACCATCGCATCACGAGGCTGGTCATTACCCCACCTTCGCATCCACGCCCCCGAGTCATTACCAGCCAGCTACCTTTGACCTAGTACTTGTATGAACTTCATTTCATTTCAATTTAGTTGTTTCGTTTTTGATTTCATTTTACTAACATTAAAACTACACTTCAATGTAGGCACTGCATTTGCTGATTTGCACGTGAAGCTATCGGGAGCTACTGAGACCATCTCTCATTTGCCACCGGACAAGGCTCTACCATTTGCCATACAGACGATGCAGGGTCTTACATCATTTTGTGGCCAGACCTTGTCTAGGGTGGGGCATTCACACCTTATACAGCAGCCTCGAGTGTCCACTTCGCCATCTTCTACATCTTCTACTGTGCACACTAGGCCGATCAAACCACCACCTCATCGAGGAGGCCATTCATCAGGTGCCTTCCGTCCACCGATTCCCATTCGCTCTCCCTTGCATGCTCCTTCCCCCTCTCCCTTACATGCTTCTTCTCCCTCTCCTACAGTTCCCCTTCTCCTCCTCCTCAGCATACTATCGTCACATCTCCTCCAGTGGTGCACCGCCAGTATCATAGAGTTCGACGGCATAGCAAGACTAGGTCTCATGTTGGAGTTGGAGTTGGCCTGGATGACATTCCAAAGGAGGAGACAGCTACATCACCTTCATCGTCACTTCATGGGAATAAGCAACGCCCGAGCTAGATGTATATTTTGGAACTGAACTCATATGCTATTTTGTAAATGATTAGAATTAGACTTTGTTTATATTTAATCTTTTGAAAAATATTTGACTTTGCAATTAGAATACCATAAGACAATTTGGACTTCCTTGGATTAAAATGTGTTCATAAACTGGTTATTTGTGGTGGTTGTGTTGAAGATATGGTATATATATGTTTTACAGGTACACTTGCAGGATTTTTTGGGGATGATTAAATAACTTTGAAAAAAAAAATTGACAGGCAAAATCGCTGCTTGAAGTGGCGGTTTCTTATAAAAAAACCGCTACTTCATGTAGCGGTTTATTGGGATTTGCTGGACCGGAGAAAAAAAAAAACCGATTTTTAGAGAAATACTTACGTGGACGGTATATTGGGAAAAAAGTAAAAAGAGGCTGTATTTTGGGAATTAGCTTACTTCCCAACCTTATTTTGGGAAGACGCTCTAAAAAGAATACATTACTTTGAACTTTGAAGTAGTATTTGATATAATTGGTTTGTACATGCACCACCATTTAAAAATAAATGAATAAATACTAATACATATCCCAAAAAACAACAAAAAAAAAGGGGGGGGGGGGAAATATATCAGAAATATTATAATCCTTCCATTTTTATAAGATTATAATTTTCATAATTGTAATCAAAGATTTCACCAAAAAAACATGTCTAGGTTCAAAGGAGGGTGTAGGCAAAGTATCATGCATAGCAACACAGATGATCTCAATCCACCAAAGCTGACTCCATTCTTTTACTTGTCCTTTTGTGTCTTCCCAAAAACCACTTAATTTTTTCTTTACATTTTTTCTTCCTTTCATATTTATGTTTTTTTTTTACAATTATATAAAAAAAATTAAATTTTTTTAATCTTTTAATCTCTGATTCCCTTTTACATCCCTACCTTTTTTTCTCCACCTTATTGCGTAACTGGATGCTCCGGCCGTCGTCCCTTCGTCGGCGCAACAACCCCACCTCAGTATTATAGAGATTGGTGCCAAATTTCAGTTGAATGTTTATTAGGCATATTTTGTATTAGTGTTTATCAAATTTTGTATTGAAAATCGAGAATTTTAATCTGGGTAATTATGGGAGAGCTCGAGGAGATTGGTCAAGATTATGGGTAAGAGCTCTAATTTATTATAATCCTGTTATTCATTCTTTTTTCAATTGGGGTTTTTGTTGGATATATAATTAAGATTTGATTATTACAAAGATTGATTTTTTTTTGGAAATGGGTGCTTTATTTGCTGAATTATCATTTTGTTGAAGGTTAGAATTTGATCATTGAATTTGTATTTAAACAACTTAATTGAAATTGAATTTGATTTGAATTTGTATGTAAGTGCTAAGTATACTGAAATTCTGATTTTCTTTAGGGTTAAAAGTATGCATTATTCAGGGTAAATGTTGAATGTTTACCAACAGAACAATTATTGAATTTGTTGGGGTTTTCTTAAAAAGTGAAAATTTTGGTTTGGGTTTATTTGATTTGCTTGGTCATTTGGAATGATTGTAGGTCGGATATAGAGGTTGATGACTTAAGGTGCGGGAACATTGCGGAAAAAGATGTTAGTGATGAAGAAATTGATCCGGAAGAACTCGAAAGGCGAATGTGGAAGGATCGAATTAAGCTCAAGCGAATGAAGGAGAGGGAGAAGGTGGAGGCACAGCGGGCTGCTGAGAAGCAAAAGCCGAAGCAGACGAGTGATCAAGCTAGGAGGAAGAAAATGTCAAGAGCACAAGATGGGATTTTGAAGTATATGTTGAAGTTGATGGAGGTCTGCAAAGCGCGAGGGTTTGTGTATGGAATAATTCCGGAAAAGGGAAAGCCGGTTAGTGGCGCGTCTGATAATTTAAGAGCTTGGTGGAAGGAGAAGGTCAAATTTGATAAGAATGGTCCTGCTGCAATTAACAAGTATGAAGCTGAGTGTTTGGCAATGAGTGAAGGAGCTAATAATGGAAATGGTCAAAACACTTTGCAGGAATTGCAAGACGCTACTTTAGGCTCGCTGTTGTCGTCGTTGATGCAGCATTGTAATCCTCCTCAGAGGAAATTTCCTTTAGAAAAAGGTGTGCCTCCACCATGGTGGCCTTCAGGAGATGAAGAATGGTGGTCAAAGCTGAGTTTACCGAAGGGTCAGAGCCCTCCGTATAAGAAACCACATGATCTAAAGAAGATGTGGAAAGTTGGGGTTTTGACTGCTGTGATCAAGCACATGTCTCCTGATATTGCAAAGATCAGAAGGCTTGTGAGGCAATCTAAATGCTTACAAGACAAGATGACTGCTAAGGAAAGTTCGATTTGGTTAGGAGTTTTAGGACGGGAGGAGTCCCTTATCCGGCAGCTTAGCAGTGATAATGGAACGTCAGGTATTACAGGAAGTCCACCAGGCCCGCGTGGTGAAAAGAGGAAACCTGCTGCTAGTACTGATAGTGATTATGACGTTGATGGCATTGATGAAGGTGCAGGTTCTGTTTCTTCTAAAGATGAAAGGAAAAATCAACAAAGTGATGCAGAAACAATGGGTGAACCCGTGATCAATAATTGTTCTTCTGCCCGGAGTAAGAACCCTATTGAGAAACAAAATAAGAGAAAAAGATCACGTGGAAAAGCAAGCTCAAATGATCAGCAAACCACCCCTTCTATGGAGGATCAGCAGTTGGCAGCTAGTGTTCCGCAATTGGCACCTAGTGATCAGCAAGCTGCACCATCTACAAAAGAGAATTTGGTGGGTGAACCTGCAAGACCTGGTCTAGTGTCTGACATGGACCATAATGATTTCCAGATGCATGATAACCAGCAGGAGAATGGCTTGATATTCATCGAACCCTTGGTTTCTATGGACAGTGATATATTGGGGCAATTTCATCCCCCAGCCTCTGATTATAGTCAGTTTAGTCACTTTTCTAATGTCCGTCCTCCCCATTTGATGTCCGGACATAACATGTTTGTTGGAGGCCAATCGTTCCACCATCCAACCGTACGAGGTGCTGAGTTGCAACATGGTGATTCTTATTATCCATCAATTCAATATGGGCAAAGACTTGACGAGCAGCGCTTGCAGCATACCATTAGTGAACCCCAAACAAGGCAAGAAGCAGTTGGAATGCATCTTCCATCCCTTAACACAACCGAGAATGATATCACTGGAGGCCATTTGCACCATTATGGTGTTGATGCATTCCAGGAAAAGAATCGACCCTTTGATAGTCACTTTGGATCTCCCTTTAATGGCCTTTCTATAGATTTTGATCAATTTGATACTACTTTCCCTGAAATTGAGGGCTTTGGTTTAGAAGAGGATTACTTAGCTGGTGATGACCTTGACATCTTGCAATACTGTGGTGCTTAGATTGGCGGAGTGGGTTTTTTTGCAGCTAAAGCTGTAAGTCATGATTGCATTTTCTTGCTGATATCTCCAGACTTTCATACTATGACAACAATTTAATTTAGCTTAATTTTCTTTTTCAGGCAGCGCTCCAGACAAGCTGAATTAGAGATGAAGTTTGAGCCCGTGACCTGTATAGTTGTCAGCTTGAATAGTCCTTACAGTTTCAAGTTACTAGATTAGTTTAATTCATTTATCCAAACAACATTTCAATGATCAATTCTTTAGTTGATACAGAAAGTTCGAGATTTGACGTTATGTTATTGATATGTTTGGATTGAATAAATTTTGTATATTTGGTTTGGTTGATTTTAATCTTCTCATTACAAGGCATTGAAATTCTTCAGGTTTGATCATAATTGTAACAGCGCTGTTTAAGGTGGAAAATAAAACATTATGTTCAACATTGTGATTAATTAAGGATAGGCTAGACTAGGACATCATCAAGAATTTTCATTGATAAACATTTAAACACTAATAGGCTAGCTAGTAAGAATTTTCCAGAAGTAGAATGTAAGTGTGGTGATGCTGGTCTTGATGATGTTATAAAGGATTCCTCAGTTGTTGGAGTTGCTGTTGTTCTTGCTGGCTAAATTCAGGTCTCTTTTGCTCTCTCCCTTTTTTTTTGGGTGAAATTTTATGTTGTTATAATCCCTTGATGATGAAATTAATTCAGTATTGTATAGAAGCTAATCATATACTTCCTAAGTCCAGTCATAGTATATCTGCTAAGAGTTAAGCTTTGTGTATTCTGATTGTGTTTAAGCTATGCCATTAATGGAGTAAACAACATGAATGTGACAATTTCCGCTGAAAGTTTTAATGAGGTTTGATAAGCTTCCATTGCATAATAATTTGTATCAGTTAGTTGATTAACTTCACACAGTTTTCACTATTTCTTGTGTGAAGACAATTTTCTTATGTTGGGGGGAGTTGGGTGGTAGGGTTTGTTTAGACTTAGGAGTGTGATAGATACAAACAATATGAAAGTGATTAAATTTTTCCAACTTGTTTTAAGTTCTTTGGAGTAAGGACTCAGGAAAGACATTGGTTAGTCTTTTGCTGTTGGTGGACTGGTTATTCTTATGATTGTGTACCCAAGTTCTGGTGTATTAGTTGAATCTATAATATTCTACTCATCTCAAGAGGCTATGGACTTAATAAACTTATTTGCTTGTTGACGTGCATTGCTTAGGTAGATATGTCGCTGAGACTGCTCAAGGAACAGAAGCATGTGACCCAAGGTAATTCCCCCGTTCCAACTATGGCCATCAATGCTTGTAAATGGAATTTTAGGTGAAGAGAAGGTTTCAGTCTGATAAAACAGAAATGGACCAGATCATCTAGAGTTGCCAAAGAAAGAAATGCTGTTGAACTTTGTTTTTATGATGTATTATCACATTATTGTTATAGCATAGAGTTAGTTCACTTAATATCTTTTGATTGTTTTCTCATTTCTGTTGGATGAAAATGTTTTGGGTGTTGGATAATTCCTTGGGTCAACAAAAAAGCCAGCTTCTCTACCTCCATTTTGGTCATTTATATTCTCTACCTGCATTATTCTTTCTGATTTTGTGTTGCTAAAGCATACGTACTATATAGATTACTGTAGTGATAACAGCATAACATCCTGTCAAAATTTCAAGGGCTTACAAGATGGGTACATGTTGTTAGTTACTCTTTTATTGACAATAAATCTGGAATCAATGAGGCTGATGAGGTGGCCGTTAGGTTGCATTCTTGGATTAATGTCTGTTAGATTTTGGCCCTTACATTTTCTTATACATCTGTTTGTGCAGATATCTCCTGGAATTCTCGTAAACCAATGTTGCAGAAAATTACAGATTTGAACCTGGTTTCATCGAGGTACATGGTATTCTACTGTGCCCTGTGCCCTGCGCCTGTACTCTATTTGCCTTTTTTGGAAGTTTTGCCTCAGTTGAAATACCTATTGGATGAACAGGGGAGGAGGCTAGTCGAAGAAAGAGGAGATATGATTAGTGTCCAAGTTATTGTGGAAGGATCATTGAACATTTTCAACCCATATTTTTCAAGTTCTTGGAGGTGGAACTTCACTGTAAGTGTTTCAATATTCCATGGCTACTATATTTAGGTCCATAATACGAGTCTTCCTCTAAGGATCACACATGAATGCCTCCCAGCATGACTTGATTTACTAGATAACTGATGTGATGGGCAACACGAGATGTGTAAATGATGTTCTAGTCTTCCTGACCATTTGAAAATTAGAATAATGTTTTCTTGAATCATAGTTCTAGTAAGATATGTGTGATTATACATGTTTTTGAAAGGGAAACACGAGATGATTCTTCTCCAAGCAAATGCAGGATCTGGTTATGAGTGTTACAGATGATGCAGAAAGTCCAGGATTTGACATTATGTTATTAATATGTTTGGATTGGATTTTGGATATCGGGTTTGGTTGATCTTAATCTTCTCATCATGAGGAGGTATTGAAAATTTTCAATTTTGATCATGAATGTAACAACGCAGTTTAAGGTTGGAAAAGAAAACATTGTGTTCATTGTTCAACATTGTTGTTAATAGCCCTTGAATTGTTGCAATCTGCAACAGATAATGGATATGCTAGACCCAAGAGTGTGCGAAAAGGGGTACGCGTACTGATTTTTACCCAAAACATCACAAATTTTTAACTACAGGAAGCCATCTGATGGCTTTGAAGTCCAAACTTATCAGTAAACCTATCTAAAGATATCCAATATACTTCATAACTATGCGACTTTCATCGAAAGCCAGTATGTGACCAATATCGTGGTCTTTCACAGAATTCTTATTCTTAATTCTAATTGCTCCGATTTTCGAGAGATGCATCTTGTGGATTAGTGATTGTTAACGAGCTAATCATCTAAGTTTTAAAAGGTTAATTTAAGATTGAATTTTATTTATATCACTGGTCTTATTATGCATGTAAAATTAATTCTACATTCTTGCTTTTGGAGTAAATGGACTTCAAACCAATTATTGCTTCTCTCCTTAAACATTGGCAGGTATGCCACCTGTCCTGTGGAACTGTCCTTTAGCTTACTCATTACTATGCAGTATGGTAGAGCTTCCCTACCGGTTCCAAGAAAGTTTGAGATCGATTCTCACCCCTACCCTAGTAACTCTCTAACAACCCAAAAAAAAAAAAAAAAAAAAAAAATCAGAATGCAGTATGGACTATCGAAGCCCATTTAATTTTCTTTGTTTTTGGATCATTTGCAAATGGGTAGTATTTGAGATGGCAATGAGCCCAATAACAACTTACAGTTGAACTGAGATTTGGTCTGGGGGCAACTCTCATTAAATGGGCCAAATCAGTCCAATAAACTCCTCTTATGCCTAAATACCAAAAAGCCTAAAAGTCCATGAAGCATTCCCTTGCACACTTGGTCAAGGCCAGCACATTCACCTTTGGGTCCACACTATTTACTACCCATGGTATAAAACTATAAATAGTCAAATTTCCATCTTATTGAGGTATCTCTATGAACACTACTCTTAACATTTATTGTACTTCATGAAATCTCTCTTTGAGCTTCAATCACATGTACGGACTTAGGCGTTGGAGGGATTACCTCGGACACATCTTCAAAGCCAATTAACGTGCTTTTTTGGTGCAAGTAATCTTCGACCCAATACTCAGTTGAACTGCTCTATCTTTAGCTCGTGTACAAGTGTCATAGTCTTGACCATTTTGTTTTTACATGAAACAGTTAGTAAGACTTTTTTTTTTTAATGAAAATGTCGACATAACAAATAAAATTATATAAAAAAAAATAATAAATAAAATAAAAAAATAAAAAAAAAACCGCAAAAGCCTAGGAAAAAGCCAAGAATAAAGTCATTTATCAAACATAGAAAACCATAGGTGGCCCAAAATATTGGTGGTAATGGGCTGATAATATACAGAAAATATCTAAGTAATGCAATGCCACGTGTTATGTTACTACTCTTTAGCATGGAAGTGTGCACTGGTCCTTTTCAAAAAAATAATTAATTAGTCACCATCCAATAGAAAAAGGTTTTGGTTCTTATGATACTAATATCTTAACTAACACCCCCACCTCCCTTTCTCCTTTCTCTCCCGAAGCATCTAGAAAAAGTGAATCAAACATTGCCAACGTTTACTTTTCACTCACCACTAATACTTGTATTGAGATATTTCCCACTTCTTATTTAATAATTAAGTAGAGTCAAACCTATGCATATTTTTTAGTTTTTTTTAATCATTAACATGATATGAAGTTACTATTTTCATTTCACCATACTCAATAACGATGTGTTACTTGATATACGTATTAATACAATCAAGAATAATTATGTTAAGGGATCTTCATGTGATTAACTCGATTTTAAGTTTTATTAACGAAAAAGTCATTAAGTTCATTTAATTCAATAGATTAGAAGGAAACCTCAATCAATACAACCTAAGTTAATTTTGTAGTCAGTTTATTTTAGATGAGATTAATATCCAGTTATCTAGTTTCGAGTGCGGTTAGAATCCAAGCTGGTCATTAATGTAAGATCTAAACTCATACAATATCGCTTGTTCAACTTCTAAATCTGTCGGTCAGCTCCATCCATACAAGAATAATATACAATCATCTAGCTTCGAAATGTAAGAGGGGTAATTAGTAAAGATTAGCTAAAATTAATAGTGTGTGTATGAGTGTATGACCCACAAAGTGGAAGATATTTCCCAAAATATCAAGAGCCCTAGATATTTTCACCATCACTTTTTCAAACTTCTATTAATAGAACTATAAATACTTCACTATAGCTTACTCTTTTGGACCAACAAATACATATACAAATTCCTACACTTTTCCGTCTCCACCAAAAATCTTCCCGTCTTTCTCATCCAACTCATCATCATCTTCTTCTTCACTTAACATTTCCGGCGAATAATGGGTCCCACAAATGGCGGAATCCTCGAAACACCGGCACTCGATATCGAAACCCCCGGAATACTCCAGCGCGTCTCCGAGGAAGGCGGCGGTTACACCTTCGCAAGAATGGCGGCGGCGGCACGTGACGGAGACGCACGTGCGGCGGAGGTGGCGCGTGAGATGGCGTGGGAGCAGCTTCATTGTGGACCATGGCACTCTGTGTTGCCCATTTGGAGGGATGCTTATTCAATGGCGTGTTTACACGTGGCGAAACACCATTTCGCCGGAGGTGACTTCTCGGAGACGATTAGGGTTTTGGATTTGGGGTTGATTATGGGTGGGACCCTTTTGAGGGTTGACTTGGAAAATGCTGTTGATAAAGTTATGGCGGTTTTGGAGGAGAGAGAAAATGGGGGTAACAATGGTGAAGGGAGTGATAATGGTGGTGGGTTGTTGTTTTCTTCTGCTGATTTTAATGAAGCTGAGGTAAGGTTCGTTTTCTTTTTTAAATTTTAGTATTTTTTGAATGAATGATCTAATTTTGATTGTGTTTTGATGGTTGATTTCATGTTGTTTGGGAAATTTGAGTTGGGATTTTGTAGAATTGAATCTGCTATTAGCAATGTGTTTCAATGAGCTGTATTGATATGATTTTCAGCTATTTTTTAGGGTTTTGGGATTAATTTGGGAAATTTTGATTATAATATATTGGGCTGTTTTGTGTTATTACCTTTGAATCAATTTCTTTGTGATTTGATGATAGTGTTGTATGATCACTGGAGATGAAATCATCATTGGGATTTTGTCTTTGATGATGTTGTAGTATTGATTGGTCATGAAAATTGTCAAACTCAACTAGTCTGTGTGAGTAATGATGCAATTTCTTGGATATTATATTTGGTGGGTTGTTTATGATCAGATGATCACTAAAGATGAAATCTTGGTCCGTGTAGCCGACCCCATAAGTGTGTTTAAGGTTTCCATGATGATGCTGTATTGTTTGGTCATGAAAATTGTCAAATTCAACAAGATTGTGTGAGTTATGATGCATTTTCTTTGTATTGCTGAGTTATTAAATGTTTGCAAGTTTAGATCTTGTTATTTTTGTTAATTAGGGGACTGCTGCTTAAATAATGACTGAACTTGATTGTTGATTATACTTGGACTGGTAGGTTCTCAGGTCATTGCCTGCAAAATCACTGTCTTCGAAGCTTGTTGCAAGACGCTCTGGGTTGTCATTGGAAGGGTTCCTTCGTGACTATTTTCTAATGGGTTTGCCTGTTATAATCAGTGACTCAATGTCCCATTGGCCCGCTAGAGCTAGGTGGAACAACATGGAATACTTGAAAAGGGTGGCCGGTGGTCGAACAGTACCTGTTGAGGTGATTAGCTGATGACTATTTCCTCTCAACTCTACTTATGGGCAAGTATACCTCTTGATAATATTATTTCTTTTGACTGTTTCTTATTTTCAAATATACTTTTTTGCTTTAAGATGGTGTGTTAATCAAAAGCAGGCATTAAATCGTTCTTTGCAGTGACTTTGGCTAAATGATGCTCTAAATTTGCAGACATAGTCACCATTCCCCCTAACCGTCCTGTTTTCCTCTGGCTTCATCGTCAATTTTGTTTGACTATTCTTATAATTAGGACTTCGACCTTTGAATCTATTCAGCTATGCTAGCAAAGGATTTGATGAACTATGTTCACTTTGTTGTGCTCTGATACTTGTCATGTGTTACAAAATGAAACAAGAAAAGATGTAAAGGAGGTTACATACAGTTTGTAAACGCTTGTATGAAATTTGTGAACCTTGAAAAGGGCATTTGATTCTGATCCTTGGGAATGTTAGGGGGGGTAGTGGAGAAGCTTGTTTGAAATTTGTGAACCTTGAAAAAGGCTTTTTTTCTACGTTTTTATTTTTGCTGAACTGAAATCATTTTTGGCAAAAGTAATGTTTACTATTGTTTTTCTTGTTTTAAATGGTAATTAATGGTAATTACATTACACCTTCACAACACTAAATCATAATATAGTAACTTGGACAATGGATACGTTGTTTTTAATTTTGCCTCTATATTCTAGATTTCCCCATTTTTTATTCCACTATCAGCAATCAGTTACCAACTTACCAGTCATGGAAGTATGTGATTGTAGTATACCTATTGTGTGCATCTGCACTTTCCATAATGGGCTTCTGCACCTAGCGGTTTGTTGCACTGAACATGGTATCATTGCAACAAATTTGTCGCCAAGTCCTGTTTTTCAACCAGTGCTGATTTGTAATTTACCTGAATCTCCTATCCTCCACTCTAGGGTTCTTTGGAAAAGCTATCTACATAAATGCTTTTAGTTAACTTTTTTCAGGTTGGAAAGAACTACCTATGTTCCGAGTGGAAGCAAGAGCTTATCACATTCTCCCAATTTCTGGAACGAATTCAATCTGGCAACACTTGTGCAGCTCCTACATACCTAGCACAGCATCCTTTGTTTGAGCAGGCATGTTTGCTAACATGCAAGATTTTTGTATGTTTAGCTATTGATACATTATGTTCATGCAATTACTTGTTGGTTCTAGTGACAGATAAAAGAGCTTAGGAAGGACATTCTTGTTCCAGACTATAGTTATGCTGGTGGTGGCGAGCTGAGGTCACTTAATGCTTGGTTTGGTCCTGCTGGAACTGTAACTCCTTTGCACCATGATCCACACCATAATTTACTTGCTCAGGTATGATAAAACCATGACGAAATTATGATTCTGGTTCTTTCCTGTTTTTTTTCTTTTTTTCTTTTCTTTTCATTTTTTTTTTTTTTTTTTTTTGCATCCTATGTCGCTTTTAGATTCCATTTGGTTCAATGGTCAGTTGTTATCTCAACCAATTCTATCTTGATCTTATCTTCTGAAAGGCTAGTGACTTCTCCTCTACCAGGTTGTTGGCAAGAAGTATGTAAGACTATATGCAGCCTCTCTGTCCGAGGAACTTTATCCGCATTCTGAAACCATGCTACGCAATTCTAGCCAGGTAGGCCTTTGTTCCTTTTTCAATAGGTTCTATTTTGTTTCCTGTATGATAAATGGAAATGTATATTGCATATAGAACATTTACAACTTTACACTAATTTCTGGTGTTTGAATGCTGTTAATACCTGTTCAGACTTACTTGTATCTCATCATCTACATTCTTTCATCTGCGATCAATCTGATGAGGTGATAAAAATTTTGTTTGTAGGTTGATTTAGATGACATAGATGACAATGCATTTCCGAATGTGAGGGACTTGGAGTTCATGGACTGCATTTTAGATGAAGGTGATATGCTATACATTCCTCCTAAGTGGTGGCACTACGTGCGATCTCTCACACCAAGCTTATCAGTTAGTTTTTGGTGGAGCAACCCTGAAGGTTCACCCTGAGTTGACAGTATCATATTTGCTTAGATCCCGGAAATTTTATTTCAAAAAATTGATAGAATTAGGGTGTTAACATAGACACTCGCATTTGCTACGATGTCATTTTGATGTATATAGACATTCAAATGATGAATGATTGAGGCGTTTGGTCTGTCCAAACCTCTGAACTCGTGCATTGTGAAATGTAATTGTATGCTTTCAAGCATCTCCTAAATATTTTGTCAAATAGTCCTCATTCACTGTGTTTAATGAACTTATATCGTCTTTGTTGATACCAAGTTACCTCATGAGAACGAAGATATTAGAGATTTAAAATTTCAAGTCTAGTCTCAGAAATCGTACCTATTTCATGACAGAAACCTTCCATTTGACGTCAATGTCTTTACCAATACGTTCAAACGAAGGCAGTTTGTAGGGGTCAGGGGTGCATGAGAGAATGGCATATGATAAGTCAATATCAGCCTCTGGCCAGTGGCCATCCTCACAGAAGCATCTGAATCCCTTTTTTGTTCGAGTGGTCGTTATTTCGAGTCAATCATTGATAATTTGCTTGCATTTTAGTGATCATATCACCATTTAAACTAACATGTTCATGTAACATCTACATGGGACCCTAGAAGCGATGAAAATTGAGACTACCATAAGAATGATCCGAGGGCTGAAGACGTGGAAGAGCCTTGGGCGGATATAGGTTCAATAATATCAACAAATATCTTCTGTATATACTCGGAAGACGAAAATCAGCCTCATTTCATCCTAGACAATAATTCTTTCTTGGATGTATCGTTGCGAAACTTTCTGTTATCAGGCCAGTGTGCCCTGGTTTTGTAGTATATGATGTATGTACCTTCAATGTACTTGTTAGTCGTTACATAATAATAATGCATCAAGAAAATGATTACTAAACTACCAATGGAAATTTGGAACCATAAATTTATATGGCCCCTGAAAATATTTGTCTAAGAAAGACGTGGAAGAAGAATGGTCGAATGAATGAATGTAGGTTTCATCAGGAAATATCTTTGTTACTGTTTTTGCTTTAGGATAGTGAAAATTCAGCCTCATTTTTTATGCGAGACAATAATTATCTTGGTCGTATTGTCACAATTTGTTCAATTATGAGATGGCCTAGTTTTGTATGAGGCATTTGTACCTTTACTGTACTCGTTAGGGTCATTACATAATGCATCAGGAAATTAAACGAGTATGGCCCCTTATCTTCAACTACGTACCAACGGAAGTTGAACCATAAAATTAAGAGTGGTTTGGAAATATTCGTCGATATTTGACTTTATGCCTAAAAACTGATCATTTTACACTTGCAAATAATACATGACCAGGCATGACAATACTCAATTATGTCATGCCTACGGTTGGCCTTGGCTTATCGGAATGGTGGCATATACACACAACTTGATTTTGAAAATGGTTGACGATTTAACATTAGTTGTATTGATGTCTAAAGAATTCCTAAAAAAAAAGGATTTCCTGAATCTAATTGTTTGGGAATTTGGTTTGTCTTTTTAATAAATTAATGGAAATTGATTGTTGAAGAGTAATACTATATCACACAACATTATAATAACCCTACCACCAAAGTAGGAGTACAATTTTATGATGGAAAGGGTAGATGAAAATGAAGGAGATTGTGAGAATGCTAACGAAGTATATAGACTTGGCCAATTTTCACCTTTACTAGTTGTTTTAATGACATGTATTTGTGAGTTTTGAATTGCAATATGAACTTAACTCAGAAGAATTAGTCGTGCATAAATATACATTTACACATGTAATAAATAAAATTAACCTACACTAGAGACATGATTGGTTGCAACTCGCTAAGATACATCAACCAATCTTGAACTGTTCTACTTGATGATGTGTGTTAAATGGGATTGAAAACGAGAAAGATCAAGGTAGATTGTACCTTCGATATCATTGTGGCTATTTGGCCACAATGAAGCATCAACAATTTTGTTTTGATGTTTAGATTTAACATCATTTGTTCGTAATTAAAAGTCACATATACTATTGAATAAAAATATATATATATATATATATATATATATATATATATATATATATATATATATATTTCACTAGATAGTTCTCTACGTACAAGTGGCTAAGTTGAAATAACTCTTTAACATTTTTGTTAGTTCCAAACCTAATTTAACGAATAATATCCTTTTAACTATTAAGTTCTTCCTCTTCACTTAGGGCCAACAACCACTCTTGTAAATGTAACTAATAATTAAGTTATTCTATTTAATGTAATCTAATTTTAGATCTAGTAGGCACAAATATCACGAATTCACTACCACGTGTTATATAATTCAAGAATTAGGCCCCGTTCACTTCATCTTATTTTGTTGAAGTGAAATTATTTTTGCTAAACTGAAATTATTTTTACCGATTTTCTAATATATTTCTTCTTTAAAGTTACTGAATTTTACTGACTGTAGTTCTAAAAAAAATAAAAAAATTACTGAACTAAACTTATTTTTACCGAACTGAAATTATCTTTATTTAATATTATTTTTTTAAGGTAAAGTGTACAGGACCTTAGATCAAGTAAAATCGGTAAATATGACCCAATATGCCCATACAACAAGCAACCGTACATGTTAAGGGTGATAATCTAGCGGGCTGAGATCGAGCTTGAGTGCTCTAGGTAAGCTCGTTACTTTGTTAGATTTGCAGTTGAAGTCGGGTCGACTCTCAAGCTTTATCGAGCTTGAAATTTCAAGTTAAATTACACAAAATTCAATTTGAGTTTGGAAAGTAAAACTTATTCTATAAAACTATACAATTATATTTCTCCTGTGTTTTAAACTTCTCACAAATTTTATTTTATATTTTACTTTTAATTAATTTAAGTTATGTTATATAGAATAGGAAAAATACACTTTAATAATTCCAACTATGGGCGATTTATTAATAATCCCAACTAAGATTTATTATCTAATAATCCCAACTATAGGGTTATTTTGCCTCCAATGGTTCCAATGACCTGGACCAATTAAATTTGGTAAAAAAAATAAAAAAAAAAAAAAAAACCTTAGCGACAATTTGGTAAAAAAAAGTTAATATAAGCGACAATTTGGTAGATAAAATAATCTCAGGTGACTATTAACTCAAAAAATACAAAAATTTCCGACAAATTACTCGCAAATGCTTAATTAAATTTGTTTTTCATGGATTTTTTTACCGACCCTTTTTATGGAAATAACATTATCAAGAAAAAAAAATGTTAAGTATCAATTTTCATTTAAGTTTCATACCCCTTATTAAATAATTTTTTTAAAAAAGGGGTTGGAAATAAATTTTGTATCGGAATTTAGAAAACTAAAAAGGGATGACATATTAATTTAAAATTTTAAATGGGAAAAATAAATTTAAAAACACAAAAACAAATTAATTTAGGATTAAAAGTTTGTTGGAAAAGATTAGATTTTTTGGTCTAAATGTCGCTGGAGTTTATTATTTTTACCAAATTGTCGCATATGGTTAGCTTTTTTTTACCAAATTCTCGCCGGAGCAAGTTTTTTTACCAAATTATCGCTAGGGGTCTTATTTATTTACCAATCTGGTCAATTGGCCCAATGACCGGTTACCTGTTGAAAGAGTTTTTTTTTTGGTTTTAATAGCCACGTGTCAACACGTGAGTGGTCCAAATTTAAAAATTAAAAAAAAAATATATAAACATAAAATAAAATTAAAAAAAAAAAGAAAAAGAAAAAACAATCCCAAAATCCTAGCCCATCATTCCAGCCACCAACACCACCGCTGTTACCACTCGCCACCACAACACAACAGCATCAGCCCACCAACAGAAGCCGGGCGTTTTCGGTGGTTAAGGGGGTTGGTCGACCGGTTTCCGACAAGGTTAGGAGATGGGTTAGGGTTTCGGCGAGGTTAGGGGTTGGTGATAGAGGGATTACGACCATTACGTGCAGTGAGGTTAGGTCGGGGGGTATAGCCGGCGCCGGCAACTGGGGGAGGGGGTTCTTGGCGCCGAGGGCAGGGGGGTCAGGCTGGGAGTGGTGGCTGGCGGGGTGTTTTTTTTTTAAAATTTTTTTTTTAATTTTTTATGGACCAATCACGTGTTGACACGTGACTTGGTAACCTATAATAAAAGGTTGTTGACCACTTGTTAACCGGTTGGAACTACTACAAGCAAACTGATAGTTGAGATTATTAGATAATAAATCTTAGTTGGGATTATTAAAAGTAAATCGCCAATAATTAAAATTATTAAAATATATTTTTCCTATAGAATAAAATAGTTTTAAGAAAATTGAGATAGTTCGTTCACAAGCTTCTCGAACCGAGCTTTGCTGTTTCAACTCATGAAAATATTAACCCGGACCAAGCTATAGTTTACCAACTAGCTAGACTTATCAACATCGTCCCCTATGTACATACATATTTTTTGTATGTAGTAACTTGAATTGTGGGGATACCCCTTTCTAAGGACCTAACGCAAGGCCCTATACAACATACTAATATCAAACCTCTTTTCAAATATGTACTCACATTGACGTTTCATCCCATAATCAATACCACGGGAGCTTATTAAGACACGTGAACTACTTAACCTATTAGATATTCAAACATCTTGCGTTCTTGACTTAAACTACTTACTCGGCGTCTTAGAGCCTTCGTGTAAAATTTTGTCAAGGCTCTATTTTTCTTAACCTTATCTTTCAAACCTTACAATCTTACCCATTTGCATATGTGATACGTAGATTGAAATTGTTTTCAGCAAATAAATAAATAAATGTCAAAACAATGTACGTAGTATTAGTTGAGATCTAGCATCATTGTTTTTCCTTAAGAAAAATTCAAAACCAACAAAAGTCCGAGATCATGACAACATAACATTACTCATCACAAAGGGGAAAATATTAACTTTGTTTATCTCTTTAATTATTTACTTTAATTTGTTGAATGTTTTTGCAATTTGACTGCTTCTATTGTAACTCTTTATAAGATTATGGATATTATATATTAAGGAGTAAGGGTAAATATGATCCTATAAATACCCATCTCATATACAACGAAAAATCACAACTCACAAATTCGAAAAAACACAAATCAAAAGAAAGTGCATTTTTCGAAAACTAGCTTAATTAACTAGCAAAGGGTGAAGAAATGGCTAAGTCTACTTACTTCGTTAGCCTCCTTGCACTTTCTCTCTTGTTCATGCTTGTAGTGAACACTGGTGAGTTAATCCACTCCCCTTAATCATGTTTTATTTTTATTTTATTTTATTTATTTTTTTTTTATTTTTTTTTGACAAGAAGAAAAAGAAATTCATTAATAATAGATAGCCAAACGGCACTTACAAACAATTCTTAGGAAATCTTAAATTCCAATACAAGTACAAATCACCTTAGAACTAGTTACATCACAGATTTGATTAACAATCGCCTTAATAAAAAACTTCATCCGAAACAATACAATCTGTGAGTTAACACTAATTCGGCTTGAGATCCACTGATGAATAGTTGTTTGTGATCATTGTTGCATGGTATTGTAGCATTAGCTTTATTATCATCTTAATTAATTAATATGATCATTTTTTGTGATTATATAACCTTGCTTATCAATTGATAGTCCTTCTAAAGGGCCGTACTTCTTAACATACCGTGAATGATCAAGAAATGAAGTATATAACGCTACAATAAAACCAAATTATAAGCTTGTTTATTGTTCAACATATCTTACATTATTTATTATTTATTGTCGTGTTTCTAGAAATTCAAATGGCGGAAGCAAAAACTTGTGGATGGTTGTACAAAGCTTGGTGGACAGATAACTGCTCCTACAAGTGCAAGAACGTCTGGGATGCCTACTATGGAAAGAAAGAGTGGTACCAAGGAAAATGGGCTTGCTTCTGTTACTATGGACCTTGTTAAGATGCTGCTCGATCATGCCTTATAATCGAAAAAAAGGAGACTAATCGCGACTTATTTACCCTCTAATTATAATCAGTGTGAATAAATTGTGTTATTATGAGAATAATACGTATGTAAAAGTGTGGGCTGCTACGTACTTAGTAGAATAAGCCTATAAGTTACTGTTTGTAATATAATTATATCTTGCATGAATAAAGAGGGTTTGAACTTTGAAATCTTTGAATAGTCGAGTACTTGTATGATATTTTAGACTTTTTATTAACTTATCAATCAGTAATTTATTTATCTCGATTAAGAGAAAATCTAGATAAAATAAACATTAATTTATAATTCGTACATTATTAAGCCACGTTTATGTGGTAAACTATTATTCCAGGCTCGAGTAAGTGAATAATTTGGTAAAAAAAAAAAAAAAAGTAAATGAATTTTTTTTTTTTAAATGATAAGGAGAAGGCTCATCCTAGAAGGGAGAGAATATAAGGGGAATCGCCCTTAGAATGTGCTTAGTGAGATTCGACTCCTGACCTCACGCCTGAAAGCCGGAGAACTAGTCAACTACTCTAGCCTCCTATCTCAAATAAATGAATAATTGGCTAGCAAACAAATAAAGCTGTACAATCATACAAATATATATGTTAGAAAGCTGAAGCATGAAAATCAATTTTAATTTTTTATTTCTAGAATTCAAATATTGATTTTGTACCTCATCATATTTGTCATTGCAATTTCCATTAATTTTACAACAGCTGGTAAAGTCTTGACAGTTCTGAAAGATATATTATAATATTATATATAAAATGCGATATCAAATGTGTTTTTGGGTCATTAGTTGCTTTGAGACATCGAATTGGAGGCCCAACTATCAAGAGACCGTGCCACTTTATTTCATTGGATCAAGATTGTCCTGTTGGGCCCAGAATATTGAATCACTTAACTACTTAAGGACATTTTTTAGCCCAGTCCATATAACTGTGGACTGGGCTGAAAACAGTGTTCTTTAAAAATAAAATTAATTTTAACTGTAAACATCAAAATCTCCATTATTGAGGAAAAAGAGTATAATTATAAAAGTAGCACTATAATGTCTTAAATATGAACAATTCAAATTATGTAGTGCTACACCCACGAATGAAAAAGTAAAGAGGTTAATAATAATGCAAATTAAAAGCCATGATATAAGGATAGGTTGTCAACATGATTACATACATGCCATTGAGTGCTATATTGAATAGACTAAAGTTTGTACAACTTCCTTGTTATTATATTTGGTGTTTATATCTAATAAGTATATACTTAACAAAAAGCCCCCAAACCTCGAAAAATAATACTCCTCTGATCTAATGTAAAGGCGGAAAAGAGAGATTCGATGATCCATGTTACATACGCTAACAAGCTAGAGAAGTTTCAACAAATATATTGTGACACATCGAAAAGACTAGGAACGAAATCTTTATATGTCGATTTTTGTGGGGTGGATAGAGTATTGATTTAGTGATTCGTTCTATTTTGGATAATGGATTGAGTTTATTTTCAAAATAACAGTGAAAATGAAAACAGAGATGTTATCATTTTTATGATATGTAACCAAAGTACGGACAACTTAGAATGCAAGAAAGAATCAATCTTCATTTACTTTACAACCGTCAACCACTAAAGCTTTTTAATATCATAAGTCAAATAATCTGAAAAAATTACAGAAGAATATTCAACTAAATTAAATATGCTACTTGTACTTGTTACTTGCATTACAATCAAACCCTCTAGTCTCCTCTATCAAATTACTCAATCAAAATATTTAGAACAACCAAATTAACCAAAAACAAAATGCTTACATTATACTACAGATTTATACCTGCAAAGAACCTTACATCTTAGAATCTTATCTTGGACATAAAACCCTGGCATCACCATAATCTTAACCCGACTTGGACCGTGTCCCTTCTGTTTATCAGTTACGATATCTTCCATATAGTGAGGATCGAACAATCTATTTTCTTCCACCCTTAAGATTGTTAAAGGCGGAGAGAAGGAGAACGCGAGCAAATGAAGTAACCATATACATTTTGCTGCTACGAAAAATGACTGAAGTAATGTTTCAGACCAAGGCCTAGTCCAATTCAGGGTCATAATTATGCAGCTCATTTTCTGGTCACAGAACTTACTAAATTCTTCACTGTAATACTTGGTTCCTTTCTTTAAGACCTCATTCCAACTCAGGTTTCTCAACGAAGCAAACGATTGAAACTGTGCTTGCCGTTGTTGCTGAGGATCTAGCAGTTTCGGCATGCCATTTTTCTGAAACACACAGTTCTCAAAATCCTGATAGAATGCTTGATTTATTATTGCCTCTAGATGATAGAAAACCGCTTTTGAGTACCTTGAATTTACTGATAGTTTATATGGTTTTAGGATCGAGTTCAAGTTCTCAGTAAGTTGTTCGTCAGTCTCATCTATTTGCTCAATCAGAGTCTTGCAGAACTGTTTTACTGATAATCTTGCTTCTGAAACAATCTGTAAAAATCCTTCCACCATAACCTCCTCGCTCACAGGCATCTCGCTATCCTCATTACTCTTCCCATCACTCGTTTTCTCTCTTTTCGATACTGCCTGTCTAAGAGCCTTCTTCAGCTCCTCGCAGTAAGATTCTAAGTTCTCGAGCTTCTTTCTCAAGTCCCCAAACGAAGATCTCATCTCTGACACTTCCATTAAGGCCGCTTCCTTCTTTTGGTTTGCATCAATCAGCTCCTTTTTCAAAGTTTCAATTGATACACCACTTCCGAAATCCTTAAGAACTTGGGAGACTTCTTCAGACTGATCATCAGTCCGTACTGGTGAACTGTTTTCGTTCTTTTGCCTCCTCTTGAACAGCCAAGACAGGATCATACCTCGCGACTTCTTATGTGGGGCAGTCATAGTAGCATGAGAATCTGTTAGTGGCACCACGATGTTAGAGTACTTGCTACTCTTGTTATCATTATAATCAATGCTGCTAATAGTTGCAGGCTTACAGTTGTTGCAGGATGATACTGATTTCAGGTCTCCTAAACTGTTTCTTCGCCTTGACTTAAGGACTTCGGTTCCTGGTGAGTTCTGTAGGAACGTAAGGTTATTCGTGCACGAACTAGCCACAGATTTACAATCATCTGCAGGGCAAATATGGCTGTTGTTGTCCAAGTTTACTAATCCAGGAGGGAGCGCGTTTTGATTATTATCTCTAATTTCATCCCAATTTTCGCTAATCGTTTGGCTTGCTATTTGCACATGGCCATACCCTGGCAAATTTTCATCTTCATAACTCTGTCAAAATATCATAAATATTATAAGCATCTTAATGTTTATACTAATCAACATGGTATTATAATGTATAATGCAGCATCAAATAATCTTTCCCTTGAACTATAAGGAAGTGAAGCATACCTTGCATTTTACTCTAAGCATCACTACTTTCTATGACTATAATACTAATAGCAATATTAGAAACTTAACTCTCTTAACTCAAAATTAATATGCCACTTTAACCTTGTCTAACTGTCCACTGGAATTTTCACTCCTCTAGCCAGTAAACTATCTAAGACAAATGTAAAAATATACGGAGTAATATTTTTTATGATAAATTTATGGCCGTAAAAGTTAAATTTAACGTGCTACATGATGTACATCATACTCTGTAAGAAGAATAGTTTGTACCACGGACAACTGTTCACGTATTAAGTAATTCAAATAGGTGAAGTCTTTTTATGGTTAGGGGAGTGAAAAATCTTTTTACCGACCAATTGAGTAGTAATTACTATTGGGATTATTGATTTGCTTTAATCAATAATCTATGTCTACTTACTTTTAGTCAAACAAATTGGGTTGAAGTGCATTCACGAGTACTTTAATTATGAAAAGTCAAATTTTGGTTATAATCGAAGTTGAAAAAAAAAATCATGTTAAGAATTTCAAATGTACAAGTTTGATTTTATTTCATTTAGGATTTGGTACTTGTGGAAAGAATGTTTACATTAAATATGAAAATCACCAACCCCTTAAATTATTTTAAAGAGAGAAAAAAAAAAGGAAAAAGAAGCTAATGCTAGAAAAAGAAAGGGAATGTAAGCAATCAATTGCCAACAAATAATCAATAGAATTGTCATAGTCATATTAGTAGGCAACCCCATTATTGGAAAAAGTCAAATTGATTATACTAGATCACTTGTAGTAGTAGCACATAGATTTTTTATTAATTTTTTTTTTTTATATTCATAGAATGTAATAAATATAAAAATAAATAAATAACAAAATTGCCAAGACATGGTAAACAATTATTGCTAGAAACAAATTCAAGGAAGTCCCTCTTATAACAAGAACCACAAATAAATTTCATCCAAAGAAGTATGTTCTAAAATTTAATAAGATAATGATGCTATACCAAACAATCAATTCACCCCCAAAAAAAAATTACTTCACCTCACCATCACTATCAAGATATAATTATCGCGTTATTAGTTCAAATTACACTATCAACACGACTATTAATAAAAAATAAAAACCAAAACGCGTAAATTTCCGAGGATTAAAAGAAGACTTACAGGAGTAAAAACAGGGTAATCATGACCAGAAAACTGAGAAGAAGGACGAGAATGAGAAGGATGATAAAGATGATGAGGAGAAGTAGAAGAACGAAATCTGAGATGAGAAGGACTATTCCCCTGCATTAAAGCAGCATGTAATGCTCTGAGTTCTACAGCTTTAGCAATGGCGGCTTGTATTTCTTCCCTACTAATATCACCATTATTATTTACTCCTGTTTTTACTTCTTCCATTAATATGAATTATAAATTATTCCCAATAAAATTAAATTCTTGCATATAAATAACAATCTAATTGACATAAAAACAGGGGTACCCTGAATCTGAAAAAGAGTCCCCTGTTTTTTAAGGAACTTTTTTTTTTGGATTTGGAATTGGAAGATAAAAATTTAAAGTTTTTTTTGGTGGGTTTTTGGGATGGAAAGATTATAAAGCTAGTGAAGAAGAAGCATGGAGAAAGAGAGAGAAAAGAAAGAATAATTTGAGGTTTTTAGGAGTGAATTTGTGTGTTTGTAGTATATGTTTCACTTAAAAGGGTGTGCATGTGAAGGAAAGAAGGTTGAAGAGTGGAATTTACTCCATTTGAGGAAGATAAGGTTCATTTTTACTAAAATGCCCTTGGTTCTTTTATAATTAGACTTTTTTTTTTTTTTTTTTTTTGAAGGGGGTGTAATGGTGTATACTGTAGGGGTATACTTATTTATAATTGTGAGTGTGTGACCACAAAACATGGAGATGGCACTACTTTTGTTATGATTGCTTCATTGTAACACTTTATCATGCTTATTTGTATAATTATGCCACCTCATATTGTAAATTTAAACTTATATATAACCTCTAATTTACTCGTTTATGATATTGCATATAGTAATCACTTAACTAATATTTCTCCTCGTTAAAAAAGCATATTTCTCATTTTATATTTGATACACTATTATGTGCAGAGCAGATAGTCTATGTATGGATTCTTAAAATTTTTGTAAACTCCGCTATTATTTTATAGCGGAAACTTGTGCATATTCTTAAATATTACGGAGTACATGCAACTCATATTGAATGAATGAAATATGAAAAACTTTATATTTGATGATATGTATTATGTACGTATCAAAGAAAAAGGGTTGCGGTTGTAAATAGTACAAGTAATAGATTATGATACCCTTATAAGTTATGGCGTACTTGTACAACCTTAGATGTGGACATGGTGGTAGCACTCTAGGACCAAAACCAAAATAATAGTAGTTCATCATTGAGAAAAAACAAAGAAATACATGATTCACGGGTGGAGCTCAGAACTTACAAATTGCCATTTTACACAAACATGATACAATGTAGATATGTAGGGGACAGTTTTTGATCGCTTTAGTGATAAAATAAATTACTGGTAGCTTATATTTTAGCCCATGAAATCATTGAGAACAACTTGGTTTTTTTATGGAGTAATTTACTAGAATAATGTCTAATTTTTTTGTACTAGTGAACAACAAATATGAAAAGACATAGGAAATAGTTGAACTTTTTTTCATGAAGACTTTAGGATGAAATAGAAGGAAGTTGGTACGGTAGTTTAATGTCAAATCAAAGTTGGACAAATTAACATTAATATATCATCTCTCATATACAATATCTCATTAATTTGCTTAATTCAACAAAGATCTTAGTGTGGTCTGACATGGTCAAGCTGTCAAAGTACTTTCGATAATACGGAGAATAAATGTATAATTGAGAATTAAAATTTCGATTCAATAAAAAAAAAATTGATAATAAATGAACAATTTGTAATTTGTCCAAATAACAGGTCATGTGAGATATGGACATATAATATGGTTGTGATACTTGTGTATAAGATAGTGATTATGTATATTAGCAGTATATTGAATGTGTAATGGAATTACATGTAGGGTTAAATAGGTTTGTTTATATAATTTGTTAATTTGTTGCCTCTCATACATAGCTACTTTTGTTAATTAAAAAGAGTTCATTAATTAATTATTATAAATGTTAATCAAGTTAGTGAATCAACAAACCCATAAAAAAGCTTCCAGATCTGTTTGTCAACCTCCACATGCAAAAAGCCTTTCCGTCTTATTTAACTAATCTTGTTTAGAAAATGACCACGTTAATTGCACAAATCACTTTTAATTAGTTGTAATTAATCCACTTTTTACTTTTCAAACAAAATGAAGCAAATCAAACGAAGTAATACAAGCTATGTTTCAGTTGACTGTACTCTTCGTTACAAGCAACTAATCAATAAATCAAACAAGTGACGAAACAATTAGTAACACCGTTGCCTAGCTAACAATCAAGACAAGTCAGGTAAACCAGCTAACAATTAATAGCCTATTAAGGTATGTTTTATTTGCACGGTTACCACTGATTAGAACTTATCTTATGTTATTTTAACTTAATGAAGCGAACTTATTAGAGCTTATTTTAGTTATAATTTGAAATGTGGTTAGTCCACCCTTATGTACTAACCTTTATCAAAATTTGTTTTCCTGAACATATCTTATTTGAACTGATTTAAATTTATTTTTCCTGAAATAAGTGGCTATAAGGTAAACAAATTATAGTCTAATTAAGAAGATTATGAGATGGTTTTCTTGCCATGTTTTTGCTATACATTACTATTAACCTATAAGCATATATCAAAAAAGATCAACAAAGCTATTAGACTAGTGTATGTCAATTTGTCAAAAAAAAGACTTAGGATACTTGTATGAGACAATGACAACAATTATCACAAATTACCAACTTTCATAATCCTCTCAAATTCAACACTCATGATATAACCACTCCCCTTTTGGATGGATTTATCGTTTTGGCTATACCATATACAAACAAGATATTAGGTATTTAGGTGTTTAGATTTGAGAAGATACGTGGCTTACTTAATCATGATTTAGTGTTATTATGAATAATCACATTATACCAATGTAGAAATCCTTGTAAAACTTGAGCAAAATACAACTGTAACAAAAAGATATACTTGTATATTTCATCACCTTATGCAAAAATTCTTTTTATTTTCTCCATATACGTATAGTCGTATACATATATACTACGTAGTATGGACTTATATTATTTTGTACGGAAAATATCTTATTTTTCTCCATATATATCATTTAAGTGAAAACATGTTAATTAATTAAAAAGCACTTATTATACTTTTATTAGTTATGTTTATGTAACTTTATTGTAATTTATATTTGAATAAAAAAAAATTCAAAAATATACATATAAATGAATTGTGATTTTCAATTTTTTCAGATTTGGTCATCCACATTTCTTTTATATGTAAAACAAAGTCATCCAACAAAGTACGTAGTATATGAAGAAGTAATTTTATACTGAAAAATAGTGGCAATTTTTAATTAAATATTGCATTGTTAGTATTGCTTGACATTTAGTGTGAAAAGATAAGGGAGATGTTATTCCTCTTGGTTTTCCTCGTATAGTGTTTTTGCAGCTTGTCCTGTTGTGATTGTTCGCTCTGTAAAAAAGAAGATTCCAAAATTCTCTTTTTATTTTTCTTTTAATTTTTTGATGCCCTAAATTCTCTTTGATGAATTTTGTTCTCCGTTTTACGACGTGTTTAGAGCTCCATATACTTCGTATATTTTGAGTACTACATAAGTATGAAGGAAAATTTTGAGTTGTAGATGAGATTATTCTGGCGTTAACCATCAAAGAAAATTTTGTGCACTTGATAAAATTTGCGCATTTTTAGTACTATTATTACTGTACGAAAATTTACCATTAAATTAGTTGACTTCCTTAAAATAAGTATGCTCGTAGTAAGGTTGTTTCCAACTCTATAATAACTTCATGTAAGTTATTATATGGTAAGAAAAGTTCAAAATAGTTGTTTATTTTCCAAGAAAATTTCATAAATAAACAAGTTTACTTCAAACAAAATAATTCTTTAAAAATAAAATAAGTTCATGTATAATATGTTCATATCCAAAAAAAAAAAAAAAAAAAAGATGAGTTGAATAGAATACAAAGCCTAATCGATTACAACTTTATAAGAATAATTTCTAATTTTACAAGTACCTAAAATTCGACACGAAATACACAGTAATGTATCGTGCCATGTCAATGCCCAAATCAGGCAATTGGCCCAGTATATTAAATAATTAGCACATTTATCTCCTATTCTCCTAATGGCTAATGCAGCACAATGCCACAAGTCTTCAAGTGTCACCAATATGAAACTTGCTGCCATGTAACACATTTCAAAGACCTTGCTCATCAGTCATCACATATTGTCTCATCTCAAAGCATAGCCTTTGTCGCTCCGCAAATGACCCATGAAGCTTGCGGCCCATCTACCACATACTTTGGGCTTGCACCCTAAAATGGTTCATCTTATATACTTCGTATTTGATGCTTATTAACCGTCTACTAAAAGATGCAATTAATTGGGTCACTTGATTTGTTAAAGCAAAATTAAAATGTAATCCGTTAAAAACAAAAAAAAAAAAAAAAAAATTGTCGTGTTGCAATTCCATGCAAGGCTTGACTCACTTAAGCTTAGTAAATCTTCCTGGAAAAAAAAAACAAAAAAAAAAAGCTTAGTAAATCTTATCTTAATTTCTAAAGATATATGGTTTGAATATTGCAAATTGAGGAACTAAGGATACTTGAAAATAGATGTATCATTACTAATCTAATATATATAAATAAAGTAGGCATTATTCAAGAGCATTCGGAGCGCCACTTAAGCAAAGGTATATTTTCGACCAATTAAAAATTAGATTTCTATTTTATTTTGGAATTAAAAAATTCGTTTGCCACCTAAACAAAATTGGCGAATGAGATTTAAGAATTTTTTCACGTAAGTAAAAACAACGAATATTGATTTATTAGAATTAAATTTATTTAAAAAACTAAAAGTTATCTTTTAAACTAATCATCTTTAGATATAGGATTTATATACCTACTATTATAAGATAAATTTTAATAGTGTTTATGATAAGAAATAAATATTATTCCTTAATTATAATTAAATTAAAATTTGTGACATTTAGATGAAAAAATTCCAATGCATAAATTTAATTTTGTATAATTACAATTTTTAGATTAATTTCACAACAATTATTCACTTTTTGGTAAATATTTTAATTTATTTTATAAGACTATAAAGATTAATTTTATATAAATTTTATTTTTGCTAACATATTCTATTTATCCACTTTTATTAGATGGAAGAGATATCGGTGTGAACTAAGTTGGTGATCCTATCGATTTTTTTTTTTAATACAAATTTTTTTTACATCGAAATATTACATCTAATAACTTTATTTTTAATGTAAAAAAATATTATGAGTATAATCTAATTACAAAAATTATGTTTCTAAGATTTTATGTATAAAAAACCGTAGGATATTAGGATTTAAATTATTAAAAAAAATAAAAATTATCTTATGAAATTAATGGTTTTATCTAAATACCCAATTTATAAGATGTTTTTTTCATAAAAAAAAATTAAATTAACCCAATAAAAAACTTTATCTTGTAAAAAATTTATGTCTAAAAATTTTAAAAGACAGATAATTTGTTAGAGATCAAGAGATCACAAGAAATATACATAATGATATATAGATTTGAGAGTTTAATTTCAAGTGTAAAAAGCAACAAATAATGATTTAGGATTTAAATAATTTTAAAAATAAAAAATTATTATATTTTCACATTAAAGATTTTATCCTAATATGTAATCAATGAAATATCATATTTACAATTTTTTTTTGAAAGATATCATATTATTGTCATATAATTAAGAACAACGAATAAAATACAAAACAACAATAAATGAAGTCGCGATATAAATTACATTAAAAAAAATTATACTTTTGTAATTGAAAATATCATTTTAATTAAATTATTATTTGTTTTTATTTTTTTTTTGTCAGAAATAATTAAATTGTAAAATAAGTTAAATATATATATATATATATATATATATATATATATATATATATATATATATATATATATATATAAACTTAGAGTATATAAGAAATATCTTTTCTTGAGATATATGTATGAAAATCCGTACATCGCACAGGCTTTCATCTAAATATTTTACATATTATTTAAATATATTCTATTTAAATAAAAGATATTATGAGTATCAATATTTCCTTTCTCATATTTACAATTTATTTATATTTAATAAATTCATATTTACAATTTAATAATATTTATATTTAAATATTATGAATTCATTAAAAACGAATTAGATGAAAAAAATCATATTTACAATTTATTTATATTTAATAAATTCATTATAAATTATAGTAAAATAAAAAAAGAATATTAAACTTTTGTAATTTTGTCTGAAATTATTAAATACAATAAATCAAAAATAATTAAAAATCTTAGATGAAAAAACCGTGCATCGCACGGGCTTCCATCTAGTACACAAATATAGGAGTACATGCACGCAAAAGTAGGTAGACCCAATTAAATATGATATCTTGCTCATTTTAAATGAGCAATAATACTATGCACACGGGTGTATATGAAATTTTAGTCTTGTTAATATAAACACAACTCCCACGAGCATAAACTCAATCCCCACGAGACCACGATTAGTGTATTGGTAGCGTAGCAAAGGGAGAGTCATATTTCTTTATTCTACATTAAAAAATACAAGCTATAAAAAGAGAGGAAAAAAAAAAGGTATGGACAGAGGAGATGACACGTGTTTTTAGTGGTTTAAAATTTTAAACACTAGAATAGATAGATTAGACACATATAAGTTAAATCACTAAAATGATCACCACTATTTTTGATCGCCTTAATCTGACTTGATTTTCATAATTGACCAAACTTTGATCTTGTGCACTGATGATCCCTAAAATAAAAGATTATCAAATAAGATATTCAGTACCATTAGATTCTTATTATTGTGAACTTTCCAAATATCAATTTTTTTTCATATTTTTTAATTACAAAATTAAAGGTATTTAACAATAAACAAAAATTCGGATTTGATTTAATGAGTTATGATAATTTTCAAAATAAGCAAATATCAACTTAAATAAGTTTAATTGAACATAGTCTAAATTGTGACATCTTACCTTAATATTGATGTATCTTTACTTCCTTTAGTCAGAAAATCTTTTTTTGTAATCGAGCCATCTCGTATTAATAACATTCAAGACCTCATTCACCTATGTCTCACTTATGAGAATCTCATGAAAATTGATCAAAGCTTGAAGACATTGGATGATGGTAGTCTCATGCTATGTGTACAACATCCAATCTATACTAGTATATTAAAAGGCGTTTATAAAAATGTCCATGTGCCACGTAGATTCTTTTAAATTACGCCACATCACTTCTCAAACACTTCATGATGCCACATCACCTACCCAACATCTTTTTTATGCCACATCATTACTGAATTAACATTAATCGTTACGCCACGTCACCCGAGCAACCCGCATTAATTCATATAAAATATAAGGTTAAAGGGATTCATACACCCAACCACTTATAACAAAGTTGACTATTTTACCATCTTAGCCCATTATCAAGCATGTTATAAATATGAAAAAGAAATGTACATAAATGTAAACTACATGATTTAATTATTAAAAAAAATACACATTCAATAATATCGATTTCAGATTTCAAAATCCTTAAAAAAAAATACCCCAATTACACGATTACAAAAGTAGCAACCTGGGGCAACGCCCAGACTACTCACTAGTATTTTTTTAAGCATAAGTTGAGTGAAATATCTCCACAATCACAAGAATTAAATGAAGCTTGGTGGAAAGCTATCAAAGTTGTGTTCTGAAAAGTATTCAGTTGAAAATTGTTTTTTTTTTTTATTTTATTTTTTTTTTTTTTTTTTTTTTGAGGTTATATTGTCTATCTTGAGTGATCTTGTGTTTATTGGTTTTTAGATATAATCTGTTTATGGTAAATAGTGTCTTACATGTTAAACCTGTATTCTTTTGTTTATAAAAAAATATAGATGTGTGATTCGAGGGTTTTAATTAAATGTAAACTAAACATAGCAATCAAATTAAACATGATACAAACAATAATTAAAATAAGAAGAAGAATAATAGTATTAAAATAAAATAATAAATCTTGATATGATATGAAAAGTAGAAAAGAAAACTAAACTAAAACTAAAAGAAAACTAAAGCTAAAGCTAAAAGAAAAGAAAACTAAAACTACCAAGAAAACCAAAACTAAAACTACCTAAAACTCCCTGCTACGTACTACTACTCCCTAAACTAATGCCTCCCCCCAAAACTAAAACTACCTAACTACTCCGTAAAAGCTGCGGAAAAGCCAAAAAAAACTAAAATCCACCCCACTAATATCTATCCTTTTATAAGGATAAATACTATCAAATAATGAAACTGAAAGCCAGAAACCAACATTAGCCTAGCCGAAGTAAAGCCCAAGGAAAAGGCACGTCCAGCTGTTAATCTATGTATCTGATCGGGCCCGATTGCTTGGAGTAAGCTCGCGGACTGGTGAAAATTTTACCCTACACCCTAGTGTAGGGTGTGTTCCCTACACCCCCCTATGCTACGTCGTTTTGTAGCTGGTATTGAGTTCTCATGTGCAGCTTCTTTCCTTTTGCGATTCTTTCCTTTTTTTTTTTTCCTTTTTTTTTTTCTTTTGTTCCTCTTTTCTTTGTTTCTTATTATTCAAGTTATGTATATATATGATTTTAAACCCTATTTTTTCTCTCTCTTCAATTGATCAACCTCCATTTTTGATCTACATTTTTCTCTCGCTAATTCATCTTCTTCATTTGATTTTTTGAACGAACTCGTTAATTGTTACCGATTATCAATGGCGAATTCTGCATCTAGAGATTGCGTTGATTTTGATCGTGATTGCGAGCGTGTGTTTCCTTCTGGAGTTCGTTTGGTTGATTCGTTTGTGCAACAATGTGAGTAATTGTGATCATAATTTTGCAATTTTTAATTATCTCTAATTTGTTCTGTTATAATGCTCTGTTAATTTGAACTTAATTGATGTATTATTATTCACTTTCGATTTTTGAATTTACTACTTTGATTACATTATGATGAACGTTTTTGGATTGTTATACTTTGTATGAACATTTTGTTGCTTCATTTGTTGTTTCATTTGTTGTTTTCTCTGTGTTTTAGAATTGTGTGTTTTTGTCGTATATTTTGTAGATTATACTTTCAATTAATCGTTTATGTTTTCTTATTCATACTTACTAATGTGTTTATGTTCAGTCTTAAAGTCATTTTTGATCATTTATTTTTACATTTTTATATCGATATTATGTGTAGTGGTAAATAATGAAAATATTGTTCATGTGCTGTTTTGATCATGAACATTTTACTTATTTGTTATTTTTCATTCATGAAACTCTTTATGATCATTTATAATTGTATATTGTGCAGTGGAAAAAAAATGATGATATTGTGTATTTAGAAGCAGAACAGTCTGAATTAAAGGATAAAGAATTTAAATCTGAAGATGAAGCTTTCGAAGCGTATAATGAATATGCTTTTAGGAAAGGTTTTGGAATTCGAATTGGGAAGAGTAAGAGAAGAAGAGATGATTCTTTTTTGATGAAAAGATTTGTTTGTTGTAATGAGGGATTCAAAGATAATAAGTGTAAGAATAAAAGGATTTATGAGAAGTTAGATCATCGAATTGGTTGTTTAGCTTTTGTGCAGTTTCATATTGATCATTTAGGGGTCTATACATGTACAAGACATGAAATGGTTCATAATCATACTATGATTCCTCCTGAAAAAAGGCATTTGATAAGGTCTCAAAGAGATGTGAATAAAGAGCAGCTTCTTTTCATTTCAACAATGAAATTGAGTGGAGTCAAAGTTACTGATTCTTTGAGGGTTCTAAAGAAGGAGGTTGGGGGATCTCCTAATCTTTGTTTTACTGCTTCTGATGCTTATAATGCATTGTCATCTGAAAAAGCTGCCCAAATTGAAGGATGTGATAGTAACCAATTGATTAAATATTTTGCCAAGAGACATGTGGATGAGGCAGATTTTTATTATGATTTTGAACAAGATGATAGTGGTGCTTTAGTTAGTTTTTTTTGGCGTGATGGTAGGATGATGAGAGATTATCATTACTTTGGAGATTTGTTGGTTTTTGATATAACTTATAGAACTAATAAATATGGAATGATATGTGCTCCATTTGTTGGGATGAACCATCATGGTAACAATGTCATGTTTGGTATGGGTTTTATTCTTAATGAGCGCACCAAGTCTTTTGATTGGTTGTTTGATACATTTTTGCACTCAATGGGGAGGAAAAGTCCCATTACAATTATGACTGATCAAGCACAAGCGATTGCAGCGGGTATAAGAAACATTTTTCCTTCAACTGTTCATCATCGTTTATGTGTATGGCATCTTGAACAAAATTCTAAGAAACACATTGGAGCATTGAGAGCTTTGGAAGGCTTTACAGATTTGTTTGGATATCTTTTGAAGTATTGTGAAACTCCTGCTGAATTTGAATATTTCTGGAAAAGGTAAATTATTGTTTTTTGTATTTATTTTTTATTTTTATTATGTGATATATTTGATTATTATGTGATATATATATGAACATTTAGTGTTTTACATATGATCATACAATTTACTTTGTTATGTATGTTATCATAATATTATTAGTGTCCATATTGTTTATGATCATTATTCTTTATACAAATGTACATATTTTAATTTATATTTTGTTCATTTTTCAATTAATATATGATCATTTCTATTATACAGAATGTGTGATAAATACAAATGTGAAAATGATGATTGGTTACGTGATTTGTATAAAATAAAGGAAATGTGGTGTCCTGCTTATTCTAAGAAGTATTGGTCTGGTGGTATATTGTCTTCTCAACGTAGTGAAACTACTAATAAGTCAGTTTCACAACGTCTTAATAAGGCTCAAGGTTTATGTGATTTTTATCATGTTTTTCTTGATGTCATTTCTGAGTGGAGAAGTAAGGAAGGTGCAAGAGATTACAATACTCTGAGGGGTAATAGGCACCTAGCTTTTGCTAATATTGGTATATTAGTTCATGCAAGATCATTGTACACTATTCAAGCTTATGTGCTTTTTGAAGAGGAGTTCATTAGGGGGACAGCTTATGATCATGTTGATAATGGTTTGCGTTTTCCAGAATATTCATATCTTCTTTGGAGGCCTGGGAAGGATATAATTAAGCATGAAGTTGTTTTTAATAAGGAAACACATGCAATTTGTTGCACATGCATGTACTTTAGTGAGACTGGTTTACTTTGTTCTCATTCTCTTCGAGTATATCATTTGCATTGTGTGCGTAATATTCCACAAGAGTATATAATGAAACGATGGACAAAGGCTGCCATGTGTAGTCATGGTATTGAAGAACCTACTTTGAGGACAAATGTTGTGGCTACTAGTGTTTGGAGGTCACAAACAATCAGAAAGTTTGTTAAGTTGATAACAAGTTGTCAGAATTCTTTGAATGCAAGGGCAGAGGTTGAGTGTTATTTCAATCTGTTAAAAGAAAAGGTTGAGAGTATATCAGGTGTAATTGACTTTAGTGAACCTGTTAAAGAGGTTGAAATTGTTGATCTTGAGATCAAGAATCCTCCAAAAGCTAGGCCTAAAGGTGAGAGGAATGTAAGGCCTAAGAGTACCTTGGAGAAGCAGTGTAACAAGGCAAAGGGTAATTTCAAGAGGAAAAAGTCTCTGTACACTCCTTACAAAAGGGGTATAGGGCAAGCAGTTGTACAGGTATATGATCATTTCATATTTTCAAATTGATCATTTCAGTTTTCGTAAATGATCATTTATGTTTTTTTTTAAATAGGAACTTGATGAGAACGGTTGTGCTGTTACTTATGCTAATTCTATTAGTGATCCCATTGAATTGATTGTTTTGAGCAATAAACGGGCTCAGGTAAATTCAAATGTGCCAAAAAAACATTTTATTTATATTTTATTAATATTGATTTTTATAATTTAAAAATATCGGTCGGCTTAAAATCAGCCGTTGTAGAAGAAATTCCTTCTAGTTCTAAGGAATCAAATCATAGTATTTCCAATGATTTTGATCAGGTATGTTTGTTTGTTATTGATTATAAATTTATTTTATTTTTTGGCATTTATGATCTATATTATAATTTTTTTTATTTAATTTTTTATTTTTTATATTTTTTTTTTGGTTTTTTTGTAGGCTACTGGTGAAAGCTCTCTTTCATCTATCATATCTATTGATGTTGATATTTCATCTATTGCTAAGGTTTTTTTTTTCCATATTTGTTTGTATAAGTGTTTGTAACTGATCATATACTGGTTTATCAATGATCAATTTAATTTTTTTTAAAGGCGAAGGATTTAAATCTTGAAGGTGTTTCTGCTGTTCAAGCTCGTTCTAATGTTGGTGCAAATAAAGGTGCTTCTGGTGTTAAAACTTACTCTCAAATTAATCCAAGAGTTCCAATTGATACTAGTGCGTCAACAAAATCTCCTGTTGTTATTCAACCTACTGTTCCCAGGAATGTTCAAAATCAAACTCAGAATTGTTCAAACACCAATCCAGAAATGATCATATCCAACTCCAGGAATGTTCAATCAACAAATGTTCAAGTTATTTCTCCTACGATTCAAATAAATGATCAAGGATTTCGTGTTCAGAATGTTCAAGTTACTCCTCCCACAGTTCAAAGAAATGATCAAGGTGCTCGTGTTCCAATTCTTCAATCAAGAAATGTTCAATTAGGTTCTAAAAAGATTTCTTCTAAGTATGATAGGTTGTTAGCCTTTTTTTATACAAGTGTAGCTAAACGTTTGGCTAATAAAGATAAATAATTAGTATTCCAGAACTTTATAAACATTAGACTTTTTTGTAATGTTGATTTAATTACTATTTTGTAATTTTGAATTTTCGATCTATTATGTAAAAGACATAAATATTATATTTTATATAGTACTATTTTTAGTATATTTGAACTTTATATTAGAATTTTATATGTTTTTAAAATTATACATTTATCAATGATTATTTAGTCATTAGAATTTTATATGTTTTAAAATTCTACATTTATCAATGATTATTTAGTCATTTGTATATGAACAAAAGTAAGAACCGACATCCAATTTATAAAACTTATAAAAAACTTTCATTCAAAGATTAAAATGAAATATCAATTACAATAATATTAAAATAAAATATAAAAAACTTTCATTCAAATATTAAAATGAAATATCAATTACAATAATATTAAAATAAAATCCATAAGTCTATTTCTTAAAAAAAAAAAATAGTCATATATAAGAAATGAACATATACATAGTTGTAAATGAACATTTGAAACTACAAAGTTGCAAATTTTCTAGCTTTCCCTCTATTTGCTCTTAATTCAGTGTTTTCTTCAAATAACATCAGTTCTGCTGTGTATTGGAGCCTTAGCTTTCTAATTTGTTCCACCTGTTGAACAAAATGAATTGTCAAATTTTAATTAAACAATCTTTACTGTTTCATAAATGAATATTATATCTTAAATAATTGATCATTTATAACTCTTACATTGTTTGGTTTTAAATCACAAATCCAGCTCTCATTAGGATCAGCAGTGAAGGTTTCCATATGCTTCATAATGTAAACTCCACAGTTTGTATAGTCATTGTTGCTACGCCATTTCATCTTTTCCAAAACAACTGTGTAGTCTTCAATTCTTTTTGCATCTTGATATCCAAGGTGTTTCATGTACTCTGCCAATCCTTTTAACTGATAGAAAAAAGAGTAAAAATTGTTTAGAAGTTTGTATTGTGATGAAGACATGAACAATTAATAAAATATAATTGATCATGTAGCCAACTATAAATGAACATAATTATCTCACCATCATTTTTGGTTGTTCTTCATATTTTGCTTGGACTGATACCTTTTTTGGTAGTTTTCTATTGTCCATTATATGAATTTTGTCTTCTATATGATTGACGCACAACAGAAAAAAATGTTGAGAAGTTGATACTGGGAAGAAGACCTGAACAAATTATATAATGTTATTGGACAATATATTGAATGTAATTGAACATTTGTATTAAACAAGAATTAATACTTGTTTATATCCAACAATGCTGCCAATTTTATTCAACTTCAGTTCATTGTCAATTCTTTCTATGAAGGCATTAATTCTTGTCTTCATTGATGATCCTTCTCGACAAACTCTATTTGTGCACATAATGTGCTGTTGAAATAGAAACAAACATATAGAAGTTAAATGAATTTTTAGCAATTATTTATCATAGGAAAATAGAATCAATAATATAAAAAAAAGAAGAAAGACTAACATGAAGCACTGTTGAGAAATAAATCTTGTTTCTCGGCTTTTTATGATTAAGAAACCTTGCCCATCCATCTATGACACAATTTGTCACTTCAACATCATCTCCAAGAGTTAGTAATGAAATGTTCACTTGGTGGTCTGTTGTTGGTGAATTTATCATTTATGTATCCATTCACAATCTGCAAACAAAATGAATAAAACATTTATACTTTTGATCATTTAATGTATTTAAAATGAACATCTAAAACTGATCATACCTGACTCACTGATGGAGTTTTTCCTGACCATGATTTTCTCCATTTCTTCAGAAATTCTGCATACTCCTCACTAATTTTATCAGACTTTGGCTCAACAATTGGAATTTCTCCTGTAGGCAAGCCATAAACTACCCTAACATCCTCTACCTCAATTTCTATTTTTTCATTCTTTGGTAGTTCAAAACACTGGCTATTTTCTTCAAAACTTCCCAATAACCAATTACAGAACTTTTGATCAAGTTGAGGTAAACTAATGTCAAGAAGTGATCCTAACCCTATATCAACAACTTGTTGTTTTTGGGTAGGTGTCATCTTTTTTATCCATGCAATGAACTTCACATGTCCTCCTCTCTTTGAAGATTTCTCTTACTCAAATTCATCATCCTGAATTTCCTCAACTTCATCAGTTTCTATTGCTTGAACCATTTCAGTTTTCATTTTATTTTTTCCCCTACCTTCAATCTTTCCTTCATCATACAGTACCATCTTTTGCTCCTCCTTTTCAACCTTTGCCTTCACTGAATTCCCTTTCTTTGCCTGTTTCTTCCTTGGCTTTACTTCTTCCTCTTCCTCCACCTCATAATCATCCTCACTGACAGGCTCTGCTTCTGCTCTATAAACTGACTCTTCACTATCATCATCACTGTCAGTAGAACTTTCATCAGTAGGATCTTGAGAGGGTTCATCTGATGGTACTTCTTGTATTTTTTTTCTCTTTCCAGCATTTCTCTTGGCAGGACTGACATCTGAAAATTAAATATATAATTTTGTTTAAGTATTGAAAATGTACAGTAAGCAAATGATAAAACGAACAAAATTGTTTTCTCAAATGATCATTCTATATATATAAATTGAACATTTATAATATATCATTATATACCTGCTTTTCTTTTGCCAGCAACCTTAGAAGTTTTCTTCACTTCTTCTGGAGTTTTCTTTTTCCCACCTATATATTGAAATTGAACATTAATGATATACCATCATAAATGATCATTCTATACATTAAGATTGAACATTTACCCTTTTTGCCTTGGTCTGGAGGATATTCAGCAGGAGCACCTGCCATTTTTTTTTATTGGAGTAGGTGCTGGAGGTGGTGCATCAGCTTCCTTTTGAATAGGAAAAGTCCTTGTAGACGTTCTTCTCTTCTGTCCTATTTTTGCGGTTTCTTTAGCAGGTTCAACATCCTTCTTCAGGCTTCCCTTTTCAGATTCATCTAACAGAACATCTATTGTTTTTAAAAAAAATTATGTTAGTATATTTGAAAGTGTAATATTAATTGTGAAACAGAAAAGTATTATGATTACCTTGGCTCTTTGTAATTCTACCACTTGGCACAACAACAAGACTTTTGTTTTTGTTTTTCCTTGCAACCATTTTGTATCTTGTTTTCATTTTGGTTGGCTGATCACTTTTTTGTGATGATGGAGCTGTCTCCTCACTAAGTTTTGTGGAAACTTTATCATCATCTTGATCTAGAAGATAAGTTTCATCCTCAATTTGAACAAAATCAGGTGCAATTTGTGCTGCATATGAAATGATCAAATATAAAAGATTAAATAAACATTTATTTAAATTGGATGACAAATGTTTACTATATACAATATAAATGAACATTTCAGATAATGAATATGTACATTTTCCACTATTTACCTTTCGGATCTGTTGTCTTTGTAGACTCATCTTCCACTGTTTTCTCTTTAGGGATTTTCTCCTTTTCAGGCTCTTTTTTTCCCTCTTGTCCTTTTATGAAAATTTAATTAGGTAATATTTATATATTTTTTTAATCTTATTGAACATTCAATATTATGTAGATCCAATATGAACATTTTATGTAATAAAAATGTACATTTATAAATTTTTACCTTCTACATTTGTTGTCTTTGGAAAGACATCTTCCACAGTTTTGTCTTTAGGGCTTTTCTCCTTTTCAGTCCTTTTTTTCCTTCTTGTCCTTCTATTAAAATTTATTTAGTTAAAATTTGATTTTTTTAATCTTATTGAATATTTAATATTATGCTTTTCCAATATGAACATTTTTTGTAATAAAAATGTACATTTTAAAATTTTTACCTTTTTCCACAGTTTTCTCTTCTATTGGCCCTTTTTCTTTCTTTTTTGCTTCACCTTCAAAAGTAATAGTATTGTTAAAATTGATATTTATGACTATTAAACAAAAATATTCAATAAATATGATCATTTACCTTTCCTGATTTCCTTGCTTGCCTTTTCCATTCTTTTGAGATTTCTCATAATTTTGATTGTCGATTCTTTGTACTTCCTGTAAATGTATGATATTGTTATATAACTTTGAAATATATTCATTAATTGATTAAATTAATTCAATTATTTAAATTTAAACATACTTTGGGTTTCTCTCTATGTCTAAATGTATTTCTTGCATCTTGTCCTTTAATGTTGTTATTCTTGCATCATCTTTGGGTTTTCTGATATTTCATTAAAAATATGTTTGAATTTACAATTTTGATTAGTAATTAAAAAATGAACATATAACTTATATTACTATTGGCCATGAGAAAACTTTATTGTACTGATTTTCAAATGAACATATAGTCTATCTAAATTGAACATTTAAGTTTTCTTACTTTTGGCCAAGACTATTCTTTACTGGATTGCTTTGCACTTTTGGTTGAACTTCTTCTTGCTTGCTGAAATCAATATTAAGAAATACTTTAAATAAAAATGAAATAAATGGTACACAAAATAGATAGTTATCAAAAATGAAATGAACATTATATATTTATACCTTTTATCAATTTCATTTTTGTCCTTTTTCTCAGGAGTATTCCTGTCTGGATTGCTCTGCTCTTCTGGCTGAACTTGTTTTTGCTTGCTGAAATCAATTTTAAGAAATACTTTTAATAAAAAATGCACATAAATTGTACACAAAATATACTGTTATAAAAATGAACATTTGTTTATATAAAATTGATCATTAGTATACCTTTCATCCCTACCTCTCTTTGTCAGTTGTGTTATGTGTAGCAGACACACTCTTAGTTGTTGCATTAGTAGCAGGAATGTTCTCACTTTGTTCACTTAAAAAAAACAGAATTATTTTATATAATATGATATTAAAGTATGAACTAATTTATACAATGAAGAAGATAATTAGTTATTTTGGTATAAAGCTTTTATACCTTATTGTTTGATTTGTCTCTGGTGGTCTTGATTTTGACATAACAAATTTCACTCGAACCTTTTTTTTTCACTAAAATTTTAAGAATTACCTAATAAGTTTGGTATATGTATACAATGTACAATAATTGAATGTAAAAACAATTATTTATACATATAAACTTACTTGTTTAAAGTGTATCTTTCATAACTATTACCATATTCATTTTGTTCTATAACCTTCTTTAGAGTTAATGGTTCAGATTTCCCATCTCTAAATTGAAGCAAGTGTATCACTCTAAATGGCACATCACTACATTATAAATTAATTACATGACATTAGTTTGAATGCATATCACTGAAATGATTATTATCATATTTATATATGTGCATGATGATTTAATGAAATGTATATTTGTTATTTAAATCTCAATGAATACTCAAATGAACAAATATACATATATGATCATAATTATATCTATAAATGAACATTATGAGTATCAAATATGATCATATACAATGATGTTTCAATGAAATGTACTTGTTCTTAAATCTCAATAAATACTCATATGAACAAATATAAATATATGATCATAACTATATCTATAAATGAACATTATGAGTATCAAATATGATCATATACAAATAACATATTAAACAAAGATAAAACCAATTTTTATCAAATACAACTAGCATATTAGACATGAACATAATATATTCTGTAAATGACTAATTACCTTGGTAGTGGAGACATTGTTAAATCCGTACCAATTGACTTGTCAATATCTTTTAAAAGTTCCGGATCTACAATTGGATCATTTTGGCGGTTTTTTTTTTCAATTTGTCTACTCTTGACTGAAGAGGTACATCATCATCATCGTCTCTGTTTTATTTAATAAATTGTTAATGTTTTAGTTATTTTCAGTAAAATCTTAGAACAATTACTACAATCGCAAAAATTTTTAACAAAAATTAGGTTTTACAAATAAATTCGCTCTATAATTTTCATCGCAAGAATATGAACAAATTAGGTTTTACAAAAGTTAGGGTTCATACATTTCTTCAGAAATTTTCAACAAATTACTCGTCTCTGAAGTATTCTTCTCCAAAATCATACTACAATTGCAAAAAATTGAACAAAAATTAGGTTTCACACATAAAATCGCACTATAATTGTCATCGAAAGAAAATGAACAAAATTACTCACTCTTTAGATACATTTTGCTCCGATTTTGCAGTTTCTTCTTGCATGTTCTTCTCTGTAGTGGTTTTTTGCAAAATCGCACTACAATCGCAACAAAATGAACAAAACTAACGAAATTACTTACTCTTTTTGTTGTGATTATTTAATTTCTTCTCGAATATCAGACATTTGAAGCAATTTTGGAGTATTTTGAAGCAATTTTTCAGTGATTTAAATTGAAATTTGTTCCGATTCGTTGGGTTTGATGAGAGAGAAACTCTAGAGAAATGAAGAAGATGGTGTTTAGAGAGAGAGAATGATTTGAAATTGATTTTTTTTTTATTTTTTTTATGTACATATATATGTGGGGTAGGGGAAGTTAGTTATGCAGTTACTGCGGTTATTGTGGGGAGTGGGTAATTATTGTGGGTTAGTGGAGGGGGTGTGGGTAGTAACTCTAAACGCTGCGTTTAGAGGGAGTGTAGGTTGGGCTACCTACACTAGGGTCTAGTGTATACCAATTACGCGGACTGGCTCTTGAGCGTGGACGTGATTGGGCTTTTAACTTGGCCCAATTTTTCTTCCTTGGTTGGTCCGTGATACTCACTTCTAAAACTTGGATATTTTCACCAATCGGGCCTTTAATCACCGAACTAAATTTAATTAGCTCGGTCTTGGGCTTCAAACATACGGTCATCAAATATAATCCAACTCTAATATTTTCGTAGTGGCTTAATAAGCTCGGTAATTATCATAATTATGCAAATTCCTACAATTTAATACCAACTCTACAAAAACACTAGGAAACGTATATTAGTAATAAAATAGCTCCGTAGAGCTCAAATAAGCACAAATATGACCATGGGACGCGGAATAAAAATATATATAAAATAGACTTATCAGGTTTATGCACTAGTTCGTAAGGGGTAAATCATGTGGTCATTTGGTGTAGTGGCGAATCTAACATTTTTTTTATCATAAGATATCTTCTAAGCCATCACAGGCAATACAATTTCACCACAGTGCCAACCAGATTCTTCTTAAGCAATACATAATTTACTTATCAGATTAATTATTGGAAACTTGCAAAACATATTGAAAACATAACAATTAGAGATGTAATGAGAGATAAATGTTTAGCATAATCATAAACTTTCAATGCTATATCAGCAAATAACTCCTACAACACATTTTGCCGCTACGAAGGACTCGATCTAACTTTTTGTTCAAACTTAATGCATTACCATTATGATAAAAAACAAATTTGATGTTATTTATTGCATTAAAATTTTATTTAAGCTATAATTACATCTTTACATAATAAATAAATAAATAAATAAATTAAAAAAAATTGTGGGGCCACTGCCACACAGGCCACTTAATAGGTTCGCCATGCTTCCTGATGTGGGCGTACCGGTAGAATAAGGGAATAAATTAGAGTATCTGGTAGACACTTAATCACTAATAATTTGGTACAAAATGCCTTGTCGTTGACTACTACACCATGTTTGACTTGTTACACAGTTCTTTTCTTGGAGCTACATATGCGAGTCCGTCACAATCAAGGGAACATTGAAAGTAAGTTAATTACTATCATTGATTTTTTGTTGTTGTTGAAATTTGTTTTTATTTTATAGAGCTTTGGAAGATGGTTTGGGATTGGGAAGTCAATGAATTGTTTGCATATGCAGAAACAACATATATCTTAGGGTAAGATTTGTTTTCCTCATTTTTTCTACTGTTCTAATTATGTTATTATTCATGCGGCAGGACTTTATTTTTGTTTCTTTAAAATTTCTAGAAACATTGAATTTAAAGCTAATGAACACAATGAATTGAAGAAAATTGTAGAAGTCAATGATTACTTTGGTATAGGGATATCTTTGATGGAAAAGATGTGAAACATGCTTAGTAAGGCAAAAAGAATAAAGGTAGAAAGAGAGTTTGCACTGCATGAAGCTGCACTAGAGGAAGGTGTACAGATTGCACCGCAGGAAGATATACAAAGTGCTGCAATAAAAGTTAAAATAACATAAAACAAATTATATTAAAGTTATTTAAAAATTAACAAATTACGTGAAACTATTCATAATTTTTTATATTATCTTTCTCATATTATTTGGTGTTTAGTTTCTTTGTCACCTCAAAAGGAGAAGGTTGAATTCTTCCACTTTCGGAAAAGTTGAAACAAAATAAGACTTGATAGATTTGGTAGATTTGATGCAAAGCGTGATCAAACTTCCTTTTCCTCACCAAATTGATCTATCTTTTGTTGTTGATAGTAAAGATTTTATTTTTCTTCTCTATATAGATTTGAGATCCGTATTTTTTTTTTATAATATGTTACTTTTGTATCCACAATTTCATTCTTCTGAAATTCTAAATTGATCATCCTTATATCTGGAATGTGGCAAAAAATAAATTACCTTTAAACTAAGAAAGTTTGTTAAGCGAAAATCTATACATCTTCTTTCATCACTTACAAAGTATGATTATTATAACAAATGGTGGGTCAAATAGTACTTTTTTTTTATTATAACAAATGATTATTATAACAAATTTATCGTTGTGTATCACTTACTATATGTAGAGGCTAAGCGCAAAAACTCAAACAGTACAAACTAAATGTTGATATCGTGCGGTATTTTGGTACTGTTCACACTCATGTAAATGAGTATGAATACAAAGCAGCTCGAAATCACAAGGTTTGAGGTTTTTTAATTTGTTATTCATCTTTTTTACTTCCCAATGCCTTTCCCTTAACTCTATGACAATCTTTTTTTTTTTTTTAGAGATTTACAAATGAAAAGATCGAGTCAGATCTCGCAAAGATTTTTCCTAACTTTTACGTAGACATGTTTTACACTTTTTACTACTTGTGCATATGTAAGGGGTAAGTGACATAACTTGACTTATTTTAAAATTTATTTTTTACCTCTTTGGTTAGGACACTAGACTATGCAGATTTTATGGGCTTATCCACGATTCTTTCTCATGGTCAGTAGATTTTTTTTTTTAAAAAAAAAAAAAAAAATCTAGTCACTGTTGGCAAAGGCTTGTTTCACCTCTCCCATATTTCATTTTCTGTCTATCTCTATAGTCTGGGAAGTTAAAAAAAATGAAAGGTTATGGTGTTGCCACTGAGTGGTGAGTAATTACTTGTGTAATAATCTGTGAGTTAAAAGATTATCAAATGAAATAACCCGTATCATTAGAGTCTTATTAATGTGAACATTTCAAATACTACCTCCGTTAGTTATTATGTGTAATAAAGGAATATTTTACGTCTCACAAATAATACCTTTTGTTGCACATAATAATTAACGGAGTTAGTAAGAAATTTTCATAATTTTTTATTCACAAAATTAAAGATATATAACAATAGACAAAAAAACACACACACACACAAAAAAAAAAAAAAAAAAAAAAAAAAAAGATATAAAAATTTCCAAAATAAGCATATATCAACTTAAATACTTTGAACCTGAACATAGTCTAAATTGTGGCATCTTACCTGAATATTGATGTATCTTTAGCTCTCCTATATCTCTAATATAGGTATGATAATGTTTTGATCTGTTTTAAGCATTGCTAACTCAATTTGAGATAAGATCCCCTACAAGGAAAAACACTAAACCTCTTCTTAAATTGTTCTTGATTATTTGGTAATGGTCTTAATGGGAACAAACTCCCTTAAAAGAGTATAAGACCACCCTCATTTATGGGCAAAAAAAATAAAAATAAAAAATGTCATTATCTCTCTACCCACTTTTTCACTCCTCTTTCCCACTTTTTCTCATGGACATTTTATTTTTACAATTTCTCACACATTCATGGGCAAAAAAAAAAAAACCCACTTTACTCTCTCCCTTATCCATTTCTTTCTCGTACAGGGACACGTGGCCGCACCATAATGGTCACGCTTATGGTCCTTGTCAGCGATACAATGCATTGGCTTTCTTTTAAAAAAATTTCAATTTTTCTTTTGTTATTTTATTTTATTTTTATTTGGATTGGATGGCTCACCATTACTGTAGCTATTTCATTTGCCATTGTCGTGGGCATTTGTCCATTTTCTCATGGGCATTTTTTTAAATGCTCATGAGTGAGGCTAAAATACCATATATTTTTTTCACAAAAATCTCCTCATGGGTAAAAAAATGCCCATGAGTGAGAGTGCTCTAAGATTATACCCTTAATAATTTACAAATTTGATATTACATTGTGGTTTAATCGATAACCCATCTAATCTATTAGACTACTCTAATAAATGCAAAAATTGATATATATATATATATATATATATATATATATATATATATATATATATATATATATATATATATATATATATATATATATATATATATATATATATATATATATATATATATATATATATACGGGGAGGTTCCGCTGAAAACAGGGCTTATGGTGAAAACTAAAAACAGAAAATCTCAACCATCCATTGTTACTAACAAGATCTAACGGTTTAAAAAAAAAAAAATAACGTAGAGTCACTATATATAAAAATAACGTAACTGTATACAAAAATAGGGTAACTATATCAATTTTTACAACATTTGTCACTATATACAAAAATAGGGTAACTATACCAATTTTGATCCTATTCATAGAAGTCACTATATACAAAAGTAGGGTAACTATATCAATTTTGACCACATTTACATATAGGTCGCTATATACAAAGATAAAATAACTATATTAATTATAGCTTGCAATATTGCTGAAAATCCAGCAAGATTGATATATACAAAAATAAGGTGACTGAAACAAAATTTACAACATTTCCATAATACTAAGGTCATTATATACGAAAATAAGGTAACTATATATAAACTTCGGGTAATTAAATCAATTTGACACCATTTACCCAGAGGTCACTAAATATAAAAATAAAGGGTATTAAAAAAGTCTATGTAGGATTCGAACCTACATCCCGTGATTACACGGTGCTCGACCAATTGAGCTAATAGGCTTTCAACATGCCAAAAACTAGAGGCTTAAAACCAACACAGATTTTAAATTTATGTTTGAGATTTTACAATAACCTTTCACACACACACAAAAAAAAGAAAAAAAAAATTACAAAATTTATAACTAGTTAACTACTGCAAATTAGTTTTCCATATACTTCGTTCAAAGTTTTATGGAATACATTGTATGTTGAAGGCTTTCCCAGAATATTGTCAGTGTCAACTTTCAATTTCCTTCTTTCTTCTCTGAAAATTTGGGGAATTACAGAATTAGGCAAGTAGTAGAAGCAACATCTTCATTCTGCTTCATTGCTGAGACGAAAACTGAAAGATGAAGTTTCAAGCTCTGCGTCTTAATGGCGGTACCTCTCTTTTTCCCATAATTTCCTACGGCCGATTTAGAGGGAACGATTAAGCCCCAAACCTAGACCACCACCACCACCGAAACCCCCAAACCCAGACCACCGACACCACCGAAACCCCAAACCCAGACCACCACCACCACCGACACCACCAAAACCCCCAAATCTAGACCAACACAACCACCGACACCCACCAAAAATACCGAATCCACCCACAAACCAAGCGAAACCACCCAAAACCCACCGAAAATCACCGAAACCACCAACACCACCACAACCATCAACACCACCAAAACCCCCAAACCTAGACCACCACCACCACCGACACCACCAATTTGCTAATAATATCAAACAATTGACATTCTATAGCTAAATAATCCAGTATATAAAAATTAAAAAAAAAAAACAGCAAAAATGCAAAAATTAAAGCCTAAATTCGCAATTTATTATCAAAATTCAGTTACAATACAACAAAATTGCATATAATTCACGACAATTACACATAGAATCAGAAGGAAAACAACAATTGAAGATCAAATCAAGTTCAAACCTAAAAAACACGATTAAAAAACCAAAAACCAAAAAAAAAAAAACATAATCAGATCGAACCTCCAAAAATACCTAAGCCGCTTCAACGGAGAATTCAGAGTATGCTTCCGCCGCGTTTAGAGAGAGAACGAAGAGAGAGAAACACACAGTAGAGAGAGAAAACAGAGAACTTGGTTGAAGAGAGAGAAAGTAGGAAAGAGAACAGAGAGGAGAGAGAAAATAACGTGTGAATTAAAAGATTAAAGATGTCTGAAAATAAGGGGAAAAAATCTCAGCCATAAGATATGATGTACGGCCCAGATTAACTGTTTTCAGTTTTTACTTTACCACTTGTTTTCACATGATCCAACTCCTATATATATATATATATATATATATATAAATATTTAAAAATTTGAACCAAGCAATTAAAACGTAAACATAATGCAACCCGATTTGAACTCGATTTGAACGGCTATACTACTACGAGTCTACAATAGTAACATGAATGACCCGTGCACCCCTCTAACCCTCCAACGTTAATCCGCAACGTCCACTCCTCCACGGCCCACGTTTTCAAAGCTTCCCTCCCAAACCAATAAATCCAAAAAAATTCAACATTTCAAAAAAAATGCCATCTTTCTGATTTTCAATTTCTTTCCAGAACTCAACGTTACAAAATCTCTTCCTATCCTTCAATTATTACAACAACATTAATTCATTCCTTCATTCAAATTCAATTCAACCTCATTTTCGCTTCAATTCATGGAAGCCGCCGAAGCCGAAACAGAGGCGGCTTTCAAGCCGGCTCATTTGGTAACTTTCTCTCCAACACCCTCTTCAACACTCAACAATCGCCGTCTCTCAAGCCAATTCTCCAAACCGAGTAGCCCAATTCGAGCCGGCTCAACAAAGAAGAAGACTTTGGCTTGGGTTTCTCTCCAAGGTCGGCTCGTTGAAGCCGATGAAGCTACCTCGGCTCAAGCCATTGGCGGCGGCTTAAGCCGAGAAGAAGCCGTGGGGTGGGAACTCTTTATCTTTATTCATCGTGTTCTCATTGTTGCTGTTGCTGCTGCTAAATGTGAGAAGAATCATCAGATTTTACAACTTAGAAAATGTGTTCAACTCAGGGTTTGTATAATTCTCCCTTTTCTTTTTAATCACATTTGATTTTTATTTTTATTTTTTTTTTTTTTAATTTGTAATGATTTTATGATTGTTTTTTTATGTGGGGTTTTTAATTCAGAGTTTGGTAAAAAAAAAAAAGAATTAAAATTTTGGTGGGTCTTAGGGAGAATCATTGACTTCTGTAAAGATTATGTAAGGGTTTTGGAATTTGTAAATTTTGTATTAATTGAAAGTGAAAAGTAATTAATTGGATGGTTGTGATGAGATGATGATGATATTGATGTTTAAAAGTTGTTAGCTTTGACGAGTACAATTGTTTGTAGACCCGCTTTGTTGGCTTCTTTTGTCATAGGAGAACTATACATTGTGAGCCAATTTACGCGAATGAGATTGAATTATATAAATTTTGCTTAAATTTTCGTGATTTGGATCTCTTTTAGCATGTTTGTGAGCCAATTTACGCGAATGAGATTGACTTGTACTCTTAATACCCGAGTTTTGGTTTTAAAATTGATTGAGTTAGTGACTCTACATAATCAGGGATGCTGTTATCACTGTTATGTGATACCCGAGTTTTTGGTTTACTATAATGACATGCCGAATTATTTAGTTGCATTCTCTAATTTTGAATCAGTAAATGTGAATGTGATTGAAGTAATAGGGAGTGCATTCTTTTGAATTTTAAGTGTTACTGAAAAATTTAAGTTGAGGTTACTGATCAGTGTGTCTTTATTCTCTTGCAGGATGATATATTGATGAGCATGCAGCAAAAGCTTGATGATTTGTGTGAGCAAATGAATTCTATGAAAGATCAGCCTCAAGCAGTAGTTGATTTGTCGGCGCCCAAGATAATGGATTTTTCATCTAGAAGATCATCTTTGGCCAGCAAATCTGGTTCTATGTGCAGAGACTGTTGGTTCTGTGATCAACGCCGAGCTGAGTTTAATGATATTTCAATGAGACTCTATTATATGCCCCTTTTGTTGCAAAATATTTCCTAGTGGTAGTTCACAGCATGCACATACACATACAAACACAGAAAAAGATAGGTTAAGGAAATAGATTTTTGTGTTCTTCAGACGTGTTAGAATCTAAATTTGACTTGCTTGTAATGTACCAGGGAAACTCACTTGTGAAAGCTGCTAGTGGTGATGAGATGTTTAAAAATAGGCTCTCTCTATTTCTAATGAAGCAGAACAGGAGGAACGTCTTATGTCAGATTTGTCTGATTGGGCTTCAAGTGTCACTTCAGTGGCAGATATACAAGTAATGAATTAACCATGGTTTTTGTAGTTTCTTTATATGATGTATATGCATCTGTTTTCGAGCAAAGGATAACTTATTTATTTATTTTTGCCTCGAGGAAAACTTACACTGAATGTCGATGTTGGGTATGGTTTTCAGCCGAATAACTTAGCAATAGAGCAAGATACTTATAATCTCAAGAGGGAATGTGAAGAAAAGGATGCTGCTATAAAGGAGCTTTCTTCTTTTATTCGTTCAAAAGATGTTGTCACTTCTAAAGTAAGATATGCCTTACTATTTGTTTCTGTTTTTCTTTGATTTGTGAATCAAGGATGGCTCAGTAAAGACACCATTCCTTTTCTTGACAGAGAATTGAAGAACTTGAAGAGGTTATTCGTCGAAAATGCACAATTATTACTAAGTTGAAAAAGGACTTGATTGTTCTGGAACAGAAAGTAAGAGCTCTTTGCTGAAACAACTTCAATCGTTTTCAACTCTTTTTTCTCTAATAAGTTGCCAAATTCTGATCCCTGATGAATGCCTGCAATAAGTTTTTATTCCCTACTTCCTTAATCTTTGTAAGCTAAAGCAATATTAAGTCTACAACTTGAATGGAAGGAACATCAATATTCAACAATACTAAAGCTTTACATTATTACAGGTGGTGAACTCAACAAGAGCCAAAAGGCGGTCATTCTCTGGGTCGAGCTTGGATAAGAAACAACAACCTACAATGTCAGATAATCTGCGTTATGATATGGATAGTCCTTTATCTTATGATATGGAGAAGAAGCAGAATGCCTCTAGTACTGTTGAAAGTCGAGTAGTAGTAAAGACCTCCACAAACACCCCTCTCCAAAACAGCTCTTCTTCAAGTGAGAAAGTGTTAAAGATAAACCAGAACTTATCACTTGCAAAAGCTCCATCGCCTTCTACAAAGCTTTCTCTTCAGGTCTCGAAATCCAGACCAGTGAGTCCCCTTAAGGAGAAATCGTTGAATCAAACTCATTCTTCAGCAGCTTCTCCAATGCCAAACAAGGTGTCTGCAGGACGTGCAGGTGTAGGTTCAAAAACTAACAGAAGACGAACTCATAGTGGATTCAAAGATGCAGCCTCACAGAAGCGATGGATGTAGTAGGTATCTTTTCTTTTATCAAGATCCATATAAGTTTATTTTTACTTCTATTAACACTTCCACAATCATGCCTGTTTGAGAATTAGGGGATCATCACTAGTTGGTGAATCGGCCTTCCCCTTGGGAGGTTAGGGGTTCGATTCTCATTGTGGGGTTTAGGCCTTAAGATATAGGACCCTATAGTCGAGCTTTGCTATAATTAACATAACCGACTACTAGGTGGTACTTACTCAATCTAACCATTTATGTAGGTATGATGTCCAATGTATTGTCCATGAGTTAAAAAAATCTAATGAAGAAGAAGAACTGACGGTCCCTAAAGTGCAGAATCCTTGGTGATGTATTAAAGAAGCAAAGATGATCTAGAGCAGAAGGCACATATATATGTAGAATTTGGAATTTGTAATAATAATAATTTGATAATGCTACATCACAGAAGAATGTGTTCTTGTTTAATAGTAACTTGGTAAGCTGTGGTAAACTGTGCACTCATAAGAGTATAAGGCCATCTTTATTAGTGGTAAATCTGGTGATATATATTATATATACTTGCTCTTTGGCGTAATTAGCATGCATATAAATTATAGAGTTAGTGCGTGTCAAAAAAAAATTATAGAGTTAGTGAGTCTAGTTACCCATCCCCTAACAACGGATCATAATCTTCCGTTTTTAACCATCAACGAAGAAATGTTTTTTAGGCTAACAATCCAATCAAATATCGAGTTTTATTTATTTATTTATTTATTTCGGTTGAGTGAAGAGTATTGTTTTATTTTATTTTTTTTAAACTCAAAACTCTTCACTTAACCAAAAAAAATAAATAATTAAATATAAAAAAAAAACTCGATATTTGATTGAAATTCTTATGTTACACCATAAGAGTTGAAAAATAATATTAATACGATTATACGAGAAATGATATACATCTTTTTAACATATTTTAAGTATTTTACTCCGTATATTACGTGCAGGAACATTTGTGAAATTTCCTTGCAAATATGGTATGTTTACTATGAAGTCTCATCAGTCATCACCAAATATAATTATACCCATGTCTAAGTGTGTACCAAAATGACATCCCTTGACCCTCGAATAGTCATGTAGGTTTAAAAAAGCGGCTAATGACTTCCAAGCTCCAAGGAATCATCAACAAATATTTTAGTCAACTAACTTCGTTATATTAATGGAAGATGACTTGATAAGAAAAGTCCAGTAACGAATAAAGTTCATATACTAGAAATTTTTAACACATTTCCTTTTTTACATTCTTGAATTTGTCTTTCAGTTAAATGATGGGCTAATTTTATACGGAGTACTTGTAAGTTGTACTCGTATTTAATTTGTCTCTATCATGTCACCCCTTTATTTACTAATTTATAATATTTTTTTTTGTCTTTCTCACTCTCAACAATCGTTTACTCTTTCTTGTAGGTGAAGTTCTTCTCAAAATTTCTAGCAATATTTTGAAAACGGATCTAAGCCCTTGTTCTTTTCAATAAAAAAAGGTTTGAGTCAAATAAGTAGAAAAAAAAAATTAGAAGTTTTGTATTTAAAATAGCTAAGCTTAATTAAATAATATACACATATTACGTATTTTAAATTAGTAGTTGAATTATCTTATTATATGAGCTAGAATGGTCTTTTTCTAAAAATATACACTTGTAGACTTTGTAGTTTCTATTTTGAAGAGAAAATACTTTAATATTTATTGATGTCACATATAGAGCTAATGTAGCATAGATGCGTTACATGCGTATATTGAGATGGATGTGTGAAAACTTCTTGAGAGATGATGCGTTACATGCGATATTGAAATGGATGTGTGAAAATATTTTGAGAGATGAAATTATGGATATAAATATCATAAGAAGGTGAGTATAAGATTAGAATGAATCTACTACATTGATTTGAAATTTTAGGCATGATGTGAACCTAAAACATGCATCGGTAAGAAAGGTGAACTATTAGGATAATGACAATTTCAAAAGACAGTGAGAGATGCCTAAAATAGTTTACATGGATGGACGTAAAAATGAATTTGTATGAGTAATTTACGATGAATTTTATAAATGAAACCCAATCAACAAACTCGAAATCTACAACGATTTTTTTTATTAATCGGTACAAAGTAGGGTGAGCAAATCGGGTATCCGTCAAATTTTAGAAATCGGACCTGGATTTGATTGGAACCAGGTCATAAAATTCGGAACCGTAATTGGAATTGGTTTAATCGGGTCCTAAAATTTAGGAATTAGAATTGCAACCACCGGGTACCCACTTAATCACTTATGTATGTAATTATTAAAATATAATACAAATTATAATACTTATTTTGATTATATTAATTTTTAATGTTTAATACTTATATTTATATATGCATTAAGCTATTTGTATTTATGTTAGGTATTAACAATACTTTTTTATTTTACTAACTAGTTACATTTAACATATTTTTATTGTTTAAAATTATTTAGTTTAGCATATATATTGGGTAACCAGGTACCCAACCGATTTCGATTTTGGTTCCAAAAGGTTGTAACCGGGTCTAATTCCGTTTCAAACCCGTCGATTCCTAACCGGTTCCAGTTCCAATCGCAGGTACCCGAATTTTTTGCTCACCCATAATATAAAGGATGATCTAGGTAGACGACCTTGCAAGGCAAATTATTGGCTCATACAAGTGATACAACCCATCTATCCATTTAAAAATACTTCGTAATTCATAACACTTTAATTTTATAATTAATGTTGCATTAAAACCTTAATCTACAACAAATTTTCTTACAAAAAATATTGAAAAGATGATGCTATTTATTGATAGTCACCTAAACAAAAATACCCCTTTCTTGATGACAATAACCTTCAAAGACTTTGACAAGTCAATCCCGCGCAACACCTTCTCCCTTTACAAAACCCCTCCATTCTTTTACTCATTCACTCTCTCTCTCTCTCTCTCCCTCTCTCCTTTGATCCTCTCTTCAAAACAAAAACTCAAAACTCCAACCAAAAAAAAAAAAAAAAAAAAAAAAAAACAAAAAACAAAAATGTTGTTTGATCGAACAAGTTCATCAAAAGAATCAATATCAACTTCGACTTCACGTAGTTGGTCGAGCTCGAACTCGAGAGTACTAGCAATCGAATGCATTAGAGGGACCTCAAGAGCCGACGAATGGAGTGGGGGATTACTCCAAACCGGCGACATCGTTGAAGAGATTCAAATAGGTGAATTGATCCTACGATCACCGTTTAAAGATGGTAACTCAGGTGTTCAGAAACAACTGCATAAGTGCTTCAAGAGCAAGGAAACTGCGGTACGAGTTCGAGTTCGTCGTGGTGAGCTTGACTCTGCTGTGTTGATTGGTTGTATTGTTCCTGAAGGGAGGAAGAAGAAGCAGCAGTATGTGTTGAGAGCTATTGATGATCCTAACTATGCTGTTGCTTTTATTGATCGTTCTGAGACTGAGTGCTTACAATTACAAGGTAATGTATGTCGAATTTTTGTTGCGTTGACTTCTTTATATCTCGACAATCTTTCTCCCTTCGTCTCACTAAGATTGCCTTGATTAGCTTGAAAAGTTCTTGCAAAGGACCATCTTAGTGAACATATTTAGGGGGGTTGATTTTGATTTGTGGTTTACTGGTTTTTAAGTATAGCTTTCTGATATAATTAAATTGATTTCATTTTCAAAATTTTTGTTAGTCATAGATTTTAAGCTTAATTGTGAAATATTGATCATATTTTATTAATTATTCTCAACTTGTTTGATTAAATATAATCTTGATGAGTAAGAGTGTTATAATTTATAACTGATAACAATTAGCAGAACAATATATATAAAACGGGAATTGTATATTTATATGAACTGAATTATGTTACTTTATTTTTAGGATGTATAATTGTATATGCGGAATATAAGAGTTTGCATTTCTCCGTTCCAAATTAAGTGCAATGTTTGACTTTGCATGATTTGCGAGACATAATAGACTATATATAATCTTAGTTATATACCCCTACAAATAAATCATAAACTTTTGATATGCTGAAAATTTTCATTAAAACAAATGAAGTACGAGTATATCAAGATCACATTTGATGATGTTCGTCATAGTGTATTCCTTACAATTGAGGTCAAAAAGTTCAAAAATATATCGACTTTGACAAGTCAAATGTTGCATTCAATTTGAGTGTCTTCTTCTTATGTCCACTTGATAAATTGGAATAATGTTGATGTTGATTGAGTATGAAATTAAAAGCAACCTTTATCGAGTAAAGCATGATCAAATGGACAAGTTGGACAATAGAACCTTGTACACCAAGTTTAGATGTTTGGCCTAATTTGAAAATGCAAATAATTTAAGATTCAATTCAACTGTATGATCTGATACACGTTTCTTCCTCCTCGGTATTTCGTTATCTTGATCTCTAATCGCAGCTTCTAGGGACTCCAGGTTACATCATACGTTAAACAGTACTCAAATCGAAGATGGTTATGTAGCATATCCATGGGAACGGAAGATGCAGACAATGCTACGAGTCCCTAATTCAAGCAGTTTTTTCTCTATCCTGTTTTTGCCAAAGGCTTCGGAAACAGGACGTGGGCGCTATAATGATGTGGAAGATACTCTTGCTAGAGCCAATGCATGGCTCAACGCGGCTCAGGCATCAGGGGTTCCAATAGCCTTAACAAATATACAGACAGAATCTTTACTTACAAAGGTACAGTTTTACTCGAATATGCAGTTCAGTATGTTATAATATAGCCAACTGCTCGATTATGTTTATGTGATCGGATTTAGCTAGTCTTGATGTTATTTTTACATTGTTGGAGTAAAATAAGCTGACAGATTGGAGTTGTTTTACTCTGTTTGATTATGTGACCTTTTAGTCATTTTAAGGCATTCGCGGTTCTTATTCTTGAGTACTGCATACCGTTGATAAAAATATGGGATAATGCAATGTTGTTCAAATTGAAAATTTGAAATGTTTTCTGGTGTTTTCAGTAATCCAAAATTATTGTTTTAAGATCTTGGTACTTATTCCTATACTACTTGTTGGTTGTGGATACTGATGAATACGAGTAATATAATGATTCATTCATCTCTTTCCCGTTTGCAACAGATTTCTGGTGAAACAGCTTCCACCACAGTGAGCACTTCATCATTGTCAGATTTGCCAAATCTTGCCAATGCAAGCCTATATGGATTTGAGGACTACCACGGAGTTGACATTGGAGTTGTCAGAGCAATTCGTCTCTGGTACTCTCCCATCCAAGAGTACCCGATTGAGATTGACATAGAAGAGGGTGATGTAAAGCTCGGGTTTGCTGTAAGTCGCACTGAAGAGGTAATATTTTCTTCTTTCCTTTGTTCTTTCTACTGTTTTGGTTTATCACTAAATAGTGCTAAATGCTAACATACTTGGGACAACATTTTTAGGGATTTATATACATATCATCAATTCTGGAAGGTGATGGAAATGTCCCTTCTGCAAGATCAGGCCTCAATGAGCTGTATAAAGAAGCATCAAGAGACTCTAAGCTTCTAGTGATATCGCGAGTAAACAACCAAAAAGTCCTTCCTTGGATTGTTTCTCCATCAAGTGCCATCCAATGCTTTGATACCGTTTCCCTTAGCCAGAAGCTATCCTTGCACCGCCATGCTCGAGCACCCTTGCTTTTCCATGTTTTGATGCGGGACTCACAATTTGCTTCTAACTCTCCACGATCACAGAGTGGCCCTGCTCCATTAGCTTTGCCATTTTGGCCTAATTCTGATGGTGATCAAAACCAACCTCCTTCACCACCCTCGAGTTCCCCTGGTGCTGGACTTAATGGTGGTGGAACTGAGATAGGATTGGCTAGAGATACAGCAGGCGAAGAATCTTTCAGATTTCATAATTTCGCGCTGCCTGCCAACTGGGTGTAATGTATGCCTTGAAAGTTATGTATGGAATGAAGCGTGTGCATATGATGGCATTGATAATTTGACATGTCCTTAATTAGATCTTAGTTGATATAGCAGTGCCAAAAGACTAAATAATTTAGACAAAAGTGTGGCAGCAACAAATAAATTATGTTGCTGCTTGTATATACAGGTGAGTGGTGGATGGATTTCAAGTTCAGTCTTCTGTAAATGTGATATGTAAGTGTTAGTGAATTTGTGTGACTAATACAGTGAGGCATTTTGATGAATTTGATTGGATTAGTTTGTTAACATTGGCATGGCCTTTTTGTACATGGGGATTGTTGACCCTTAACATTGTTTAGTCGTTGATTTCTATTTTTTCATCAAATAATAATTAGAGAAATGTCACTTGAAAGCCAAGGTTAGAATAAACTACAAAGTAGCAAGTAGTTAAGCAGAAAAACACAACACGCTTTGTGTTACAAGAGGCATCCTTATGTTTTAAACAAGCATGACATTGTCATTAGTAGTGTTGATGGACATAATTGGCTCATGAGGTACTAGTAAACATAACTTAAGAGGCTCGATTTTACATTTTTTTTTTTTTTTGTATTATACATACCGAGTACGATTCATGAGGATCTCAAAATTACCACATGTAAAAATTAAATGTTACAACTAAGTAAAAATGTATACATGCAGTGCTTGTTTAGCATTCAAGATATTAGATCGGGTCGTATTTGGTTGAAAAATCATTTAGGTTGATTCCGAGGTCAAGTCAATTAAAAGTTGATTCATAGTAGTTATACTTACATAGTTAACAATTAAAGGGGGACTTGTCAAAAACAAAACAAAAAAAACAATTAAAGAACATTTCCATACCGAGATAGTCAAATTAAAATTAGACTTCTTTTAATAAGTTAAGCATTATTACATTGTGGCCTTGTGGGGGGTTAACTCGGATCAATTATATCATTCTACGAAGTATGATTTAAGCCTTTAAGGTATCATTCAAATTTTATGTCTGGTAATCAAGTACAAGTCATGCCAGATCTTAAATATGGTGTTGCTTTGTACAGATTAGGCAACCTTGATCTACATTGTAGCTTAGCTCGTTGGCTCCTTACCATGCATAAGTGTCACTGTGTCAAATAACACTTGAATGATTGAAAGTTGAAACACATAACAAGAAATGAAGAACTTTTTTCCAAAGTGAGCTTTATTCACAAACAATTTTGTAAAGTAGACGCGTGGCCAAATTATTTACCAAATTAAGCTTCCAAGGTAAAATGTTGTCTCAGACAGCGTTTTATACCCTGGTTTTTTTAAAAAAAAAATCAATTTGTAAAACGCTTTCTGGGACAGCGTTTTACATGTTGACTTGTTTTTTAAAAAACATTTCGTAGTTTCTGATATTTAAAATGTTAAATAAAAAAAAATCAAATACCCTAAAACGCTGACTGAGGCATCGTTTAATTTAGTACATAAAACGATGACTGAGGCAGTGTTTAATTTAGTACATAAAACGCTGCCTAGGACAGCATTTTATAACGTTGTCCCAGACAGCGTTTTTCCTGCTAGGCTGCAGCAGCCAGCAGCCTCATCACTCCAAATTCAGCCCCCAACCCTCATTCAGCCACCACCCTCCACCACTCATTCAACCACCACCCTCCACCATCACACTCCAACACCCCCCCCACCACCAACCCCAACCTTAACCACCATCCCCACCGTCATTCACGATCCCCGACAACCTCCCCACCATCGACCACCACCTCCCGCCACTTTTGCCCACCCTTAGCCACTTCAAACCACTCAAACCACCCCCAACAGCGCTACAATTACCATGAACCACCACATTAACCACGACCGGCCATCGCTTCTACCCCGTTTCTCATTATGGAGCCCAAATGTTTTGTGTTTGCTATATATCGGCCTAGAATGATCTATTTTGACTGACATAAGTCCGATTTGGACTAATAAGGAAATTAAACTTCAATACACACACAGATTCATTCAAAAAACATTTATTATATTAATAATGTAAGTGTTATATGTTATATACATCAGACTAGAAAATCCGATTACAGCAAATAAATCAGATAATACTATCTTGACTCATTTATTCGGGGTAACGGTTCTCTATCCTGTCTATCGTCCCTCCGTCTAACACGACGCCGCCTATAATGAGTAATGGTGGTAAATGGGTCTCAAGGCGGTGGCGGAGTCTGATGGCTGGACGACGGGTCCTCCTGAGTAGGTGTGGGCGCAGAACTGTGGATGAGGTAATCCTCTGCGGCTCTGGGTGATGTAGGATCACCTCCACCGCTACTCTGGTCGGCCTTGAACTGTGAGTGGACGGAGTGGCCTCCATGACTGTCCCTCGGGTGGACGAGATAGCCGTGACCATATCTCTACAAGGTAGCCACGCCTATATCTCGCACCCGCTCGACCTGGGCTCTGGTGGGTCCGTCTGCAAAGGCGCCTGATAGTGCATCAACCATCGCCACCATATCCGCCGCCTGAAATAATCATCGATCAGTCAGTTGTATGATATAGAAATTTAAAAATTGATGAAAATAAGTAAATTAAATAAACTCACATATCCGCTAATGACATCAAAGGCTGGATGGTAATGTGTGGATGGTGGTGTGTAGCTGGGGTTGATGAAAGGCCGTGTAATCTGCCTATACCAGACCGTGTATGGATCGTGAGGATCCATAACGCCCTGAATCGGATCACCGGCGACGACGAACTCCAACCGTCGCTGCCATAGGTCAATGTAACGCCCATGCTCCACTGACCAGTTTGTCTCCCCCTTTCCCCGACGGTCAATGTCGTGCAGGCGGATACTAGTGTCACACTGCTGGGGGACAGGCTGGCGTAGTCCAAACTGTCGCATGACTCGATCGGGTAGGTGACTCTCCACAACCTCGAAACAGATCACAAGGGTCCTGGCACGCCACACTGCCTGATGATCCAGCAGATGTGCAGGCATGGCATCGACTAAGTCAGCTACATATGGATCCCATGTCATCTGCAATAACACATCAAAAGTAACACCGTAAATAGGTTAGTGCATAGACAGTGTACAAATTAAATAAATGTTTACAAATTCCTTTTAAGTTACTACCTGATCCTCGGTGAGTCGGTCAAGGGCTTCTCGGTAGTACGGAAGACCCCTCGCGCGCATGCGCATGTATCAGTCTGGGGACCACCCACCTAATCCCAAAAAATGTTTTAGTTTGTCAACTAGCAAAATAAAACCGCCATAGGTCTAAAATAATGACAACTGAAACAAACCTGCAACCGTACGCCTCGTCAGGTGTAGGGAGCGGTGGAGCAACGTACGCCTGGTACTGCTCGTCTCGGTCCTGCTGCCCCTAACGATGTACAGCAGGCCTACCTGGTCTGCCTACATGGATGTGCTCCTAAGCCCGTAACTGTAATACAAAAATACAAAACTAGGTTAAGTATAAACTAGGTAAGTAATTGCCAAACTAGATTGTTGATAATTAGGTGGGTTACCTAAAGCACAATCAAAGGACCTCCGATCCCACCAGAATCACGGTGGGATGCTCTACACAGCTGGCGATACAACATCGCCAAACAGGCACTACCCCAGCTATAGCCACGGATATGATCCCAGTCGTGGTCTAACAGCTATAGGTAAATAAGCTGCAGATGGCTCCCGCTCTTATTGCCGAACAACACGCCCGAGATGAGCAGGAACAGGTATGCTCGAGCGTGTCTCTGAACCGTGGCATCATTAGCGTCCGCAGGCAGCGCACGAAAAATCTCGCATATCCAGCCGGTCCTCAACCCGGAGCCCCTGATATCGTCGAGACCTGGTTGAACCCCGAGAACCCGAGCTACCAAACCAAGGGGATCGACTAACGCGAGTCTTGTCACAGCACGGCCGTGTATAAGAAGGCGCGTGAGTATCGATACGTCCCGCAATGTAACGGTCTCCTCCCCAACAGGTAGATGGAAGGAGTGCATCTCCTGTCTCCATCTCTCCGCGAGCGCAGTGACAAGCGCTCGATCGATTTCTTTAAACGCCATCCGATGAATACCGCCCTAGCCAGCCAACTCGACGTACGGAATAATGCGTATATCGACAACCCAGTCATCCATGTGTTTGGTAGTGTAGTGCCTGCAAACCAGCATCCTCGCTGTATCAACCTGATAAATAACCGTACGACCGTAAATAATTTTAGATACTATATCAATTTAACATGCATACAAGTACATGAACTGACGGATGAAATATTACCGACTAATCCCATATGTCAACGCTTCGATGTTTGTCCTGCTGTGTCAGGACAGAAGGGTCAACAGGTCCGGGTGTCCTATCTTGTCCGTCCATGATATCTGTTCATTAACAACGTTATATATTAATTATCAACACAATTATGGGATTAGAAGTTTGACACGAGCAAAATTTCTAATTAAAGGCAATGACAAACGATAATTTTCAAATGTCAAAACTTCAAAATAGAAATGTTCCAACTATTACAAATGTTACAAATGTTACAAATTCAGAAACAAAATCAAGCTAGTATTCTACTACAACATTTTTCAAATACAAAGTTAGGTCCCGGTCGGTCTAGATGGACACGTTCTCTGGTTGTGACCCAGTTGGTGAAAGCGGCCGCATTTTCTCGGGGGGCGGTTAGTCTCATCCATTTCATTGCGTATGCGCTTTGACTTTGGAGGAACTTGTCCTCGTACCATGCTGCCGTCCGGAATGAGTTTAGGGCCACTGAACTCTGTCCAGGTCGTCTCACAGGGGATAGGCCAGAACTGTGGTGCGTAGGTGTTCGTATAGGCCTTCGATTGCAGCACACTGTCCACCCATGGGCACTCTGATAGTGCATACTTCGCACAAACCGTTAGAACATGAGAACATGGGAGGTGGAATATCCGTGGTTTGTTGCATGTACACGTTCTCAACTGAAAGTTAACAGTATGTTTATGAACCTCTTTTTCTACCAAGTCGCTCTCCCCTTTCTGTTGTAACTTGATATATATACAGTCGACGGTTATACGCATCCACTGTGATATCTTGCTTTTGCGGTATTCTTCTCCAGAATGGCAGTAACCTTGGGGGGTATGCAAGTCCCTATTCAGACCTAGCCTCAAAAGATTCCCTTCTTAAAGTGAAGTACTTGTTAACTCTGTGGAAAGTTAACTCGACAAGGGACATGATCGGTAGAAATCGAGCTCCCTTCAACACATTGTTAAATGTTTCAGAGAAGTTTGTAGTACCAATCCCATATCTGCGACCAGCGTCGTAAAACAAAGACCACATAGGAAACGACACTTGGACAATATACTTTATGGCCTTGGTACATGCCTGACCGATCAAACACATATAAGCTTGTAGTTTTCATTCTTGCCTTTGGTACGCAGCCGCCTTGAACATATCTCTCATGTCATTGCTTCGCACGTGAGTCTTCAAGTTAGAAGCCATGTGGCGAACACAAAACCTATGATAGGCTCGCGACTCATTGAATCCAACGTTAGGATCATTAATTGCTGCAATGATCCCAGCATGTCGATCAGATATAACACAAAGGTCATCTCGTTGCGTGACATGAACCCGAATGCAGCCCAGAAACCAAGACCAGCTGGAAGTGTTTTCCCCTTCAACCAACGCAAATGCTAGCGGAAATACTTGGAAGCTTGAAACCACACTTGTAGCAACCAACAATGTTCCTTTATACTTCTCATACAAGTGTGTTCCATCGATACAGATAACAGGCATACAATGTTTAAAACCATCGATACAAGGACCGAAGGCCCAAAACACCCGCTCAAACACTTCCATGTTGCAGTAGTAAACACCATCCACCAAAGCTTTGTCTTTCCATACAACAACGGTTCCCGGGTTTGACTGTTAGAGTGCTTGCATGAAGTGTGGAAGTCTGCCGTAAGAACTCTCCTAATCCCCAAATATTTTAGCTATAGCTTTCTCCTTGGCATACCATGCTCTTCAATATGGAACATCAAAATGAAATTGCTTGGAGATGAGATCCTGTATGAATTCAACTTTCAAGGACGGATCTTTCTGCACAAAGGACCATTTCTTGAAGCATTTTCTTACTTTCAAGAACCACGCCCTTCTCAAATTCTCCCCCGAGAACAAACGTTGTATGGCTACCCGATTCGGCCCAATATTGATCAACTTCATAGTTCTCGTTAATCTGACTGAACCAAGGTATGGGAGTTCTAACCATGGCCTCACCAACTTCCATGTGTGCAGGTTCAACATCCATGTTGGCAAGTCCATCTTCCTCCTCTCTGCTCTCGACCTCATCATTTGTTTCCGCATACACATCATACACAGACAATTCGTTATTCACAATATTTTCAACATTTTCAAGATGATTTAGCATAGGTTGAAACGGTGATGCTTGAAAATCATCTTGCATAGGTGAAGCTATATGAGAACTAAACGGCATGTGAAATTGATCGTCGTGCAGCATTCTACTGAAAGATCTCATCCCATATTCATTTGTTGGAATGTCGTGTGAGGGCATTTGCAAGGACTCCGTGTTGTAACCGGAAATATATGTAGCTTGTTGTTCTGACCGAGTACTTTGTTGGGTACATATAGGCACCATTTCTACATATATCTCAGTGGGAACACCCTTCATTGCATCGACACTCCTCAAAGCTTTCAAATGTTTATCCTTAGAAACAGGTAACACTTGAACCCCATTGACAGTCTTAAACCTCATTTTAATGTTCATTTGAACATTCATTGGGTTTGAACCAATACTACTATGAACCTCGTTCATCAAATCGCTGAAAGTCATGTCTAGTTCAAGTGTTAGTGGTTCCATATTTCCTCCATTATACACAACATTTGGTCCAACAAACAAAATTTCACCTCCCCACCGACATAACAAAACAAAATTTTGTACAGCCATATTCTACATAACAACCAAAACACATTTTAGGATAATTGAAATCTAGAGCGAGGTAAAAAAAGTTGACACGAACCATATTATTTGTTCATTTGTTGACAAGAGCCATATTGTTTGTTCATTTGCTGACAAGAGCCCACAAACTAAGCATTAACTCCATTTATAAACTCTTAGTTTAGGTTGCAATGCAAAATGATTACTAACAAACTAATATTATAAACATTACACTAATATGAATTTATAGATAATTATCAATAATGAAATAAGAGTCTTCTTACCAATAGTCTATAGATAAATTATCACATATTAAACCACACTAATATTATAAACATAATGCCCTTAAATTTCACATAAATTTACCACATTACCATCAACAATGTACCACATCACCATCAATAATTATCAATAATTTACCACATTTTCATTAATAATTAGCAACAATTTGATACAATTTACAACAATTAACCACAATTAAGAGCAATTATCAACATTACACTAATATGAATTTAGGGTTTACCACAAATTTGAGTGAGTGAGTGAGAGACAGAGAGGGGCAGCAGCAACAGCGACTGGCGGCAGCAGCAACGACGACTGGCGGCAGCAGCAACGACGACCGGCGGCAGCAGCATCAGCGTTGAGTGCGGTGGTTGAGTATGAAAGTGTATGGGTCTTCTACCGTTAGTGAGAGTGAGTGAGAGTGAGAGAATTTGAGTGAAGTGAGAATGAAGCAGCCTGCGAATTCGATGCCTGGAACATAATACCCAAGAAACGCTGACCGAGTCAGCGTTTTACTAAAAGGCATTTTTTTAAAATCAGAAATTACGAAATTAAAAAAAAAAGTCAAAGATGTAAAACGCTGATTGGGGCAGCGTTTTACCCCAAAAGCTTAGTTTGGTAAATAGTTTGGCCACGAGTCTACTTTACAAAATAGTTTTGTAGTTAGGCTTACTTTGGAAAAAAAGTCCAGAAATGAAAGCTTGTACTTCACTTATTTTGTATTGTACAGAGTATTTATGTTATATTGTTGTGTCAGGTCAACTCTAATTTGCTTTGTAATCTCTTTTTTCTTGGCTGTAAAAAAAAAAAAAACCACGTTAATTTGAACTCAATTAGAACATCTAACAAGAAATTACCCCTAGTTAAAAACTTAAATCTTCCATCTCAACGACAAATATCTTTTAGATATGTTTTACACAAACTATTGGGTGCGGGCACCAGCACCCAAGTGTTTGTGCGGTAAGCCATTTTCTTTTCCTTTCTCTTTCTCTCTCCTTCTTCTTTTCCCTTATTTTTCTCTCTCCTCTGCTCCTCTTTCTTTCCAATTAAAATCAAAATAAAAAATTCACAATTGCATAAAACAATCATAATTAATCCAAGATGATTTGCTATTGAATCGAAGATGATTTGCTCGGTTAGAAAGCAGATGACGGATGCGAGGTTATGGCGGAGGAGGAGGCGTTCGCTGGTGGGGGGGCGTTTGCTGGTGGTGGAGGCGAGTGCGAATCGCTGGTGGTGGAGGTGAGTGCAAATCGTTGCTGTTTTCGTGGTCGGGCACTCCGCCTGGGTGCGAATTGCTGCTAGCTTGCGTGGTTGGGCTGGGCTTCGGCGTGGCTATGGTAGGAAGAAGAGAGAGTGGTGGTGAGTGGTTGTGTTGGTGGTGGGTGGGAGCTGTGGCATGAAGGAGAGAGAGTGTGGTGGTGCGTGGTTGTGTTAGTGGTGGGTGGGGGCTGCGGCAGGATGGAGAGAGAGTTGTGGTGGTGCCGTGGCGATTGTGTTGGTGGTGATAGGCTTAGAAGAGAAAGAAAGAAATCTTGGCTGATCTTGGGCTCTTGGGCACTTGGCTGATATGATTTTGTGAATCTGCTAGAAAGAAAGAGAGGAAAAGGGGGGAAAGAGGAGAGAAAATGAAATAAAAATATTTTGTACTTGTATATACTTTGTACATCAGCTAATACAAGTAATATATCAGCCAATTGATATTTTATATCAGTCAACATTAAAGACATTAATAAAACGTATCAGCCAATAAAAGGAACCTATCAGCCAACAAAAGATACATATCAGCCAACAAAAGGTACAAATCAGCCAACAGAAGAAACATATCAGCCAACAAAGAAAGCATATTAGCCAACAAAAGGATGAAATCAGCAAACAAAAGCAACAGGTATGCCAACAAAATGAAACATATAAGCCAACAATTAAAATATACATATAAGCCAACAAACTAAATATATCAACCAACTAAAGAAACATATAAGCCAACAAAAGGAACCTATATATTAGCCAACAAAATGAATATATTAGATAACACAGAAACCATATCAGCCAACAAATGAAACATACAACCAACAAGTAAAATATAAGTCAAGCCAGCCGCACGGAAATTTGCGTGCGGGCATCCGCACGCAATAACTTCTCATGTTTTTATACTCAACTCAAATACTCTTTACAAAGTACTTCGTATATCTAAGTAGAATTACGGTTGCTTTATATCTTGAATTTAGTTTGATGCTTGCTAATATCATTATATTACTAGTATTTTTTTTTGTTAAAGGGGTGAAATTCATTGAAAATTGTTATATATACTCGAGTAGTTGGGTGTTAGGTGGATCCAAGTGTATTATGCTCATTTGATATTTTGCTCAATTTAAAATCTAAAATGAGCAAAATTATATTAAATGAGAAAAAAAAAAAAACCTTTAGGTACACCAACCTCTTCGCACCTGGGTGTATATGAAAAGTTGTCGAAATTCATCAGTTATGTGTCAAAGACTCAAAGGGACACTATGAAAGGTGAAAGGTCAAAAAGTCTTTCCCAAGTCCATCTAACGAGTACGTCACAACCAGCTGGCTTCTACGGAGTATTAACAGCTTCAAAAAAAAATATAAAAAGAAAAAGACTAAATTCTCATTGGCTACTCAATAAAAACACGGATCGCTATCCCAACCCCTCAACAAAACACCCTCTCAACCGTCAATTAAATCCATCTTTAATCCAACGCCTCTCATTCATCTCCCCAAAATCTCTCCCCTACAAAATTCAAAAACTCCCGCTTCCTCCCCTCCCTATATAAACCCCCACCCACCCCCTCTCATTTCATTGCAAATTATCACAATCTCAAATTCTCAGTCACAAAACCCAGAAAAAAAGCTCGATTTCCACCAGCAATGGCGAGAACAAAGCAAACAGCGAGAAAATCAACCGGAGGAAAAGCACCAAGGAAGCAACTCGCAACAAAAGCAGCTCGCAAATCAGCTCCGGCGACCGGCGGCGTGAAGAAGCCTCACAGATTCCGTCCAGGAACTGTTGCGCTTCGTGAGATCCGAAAGTATCAGAAGAGTACCGAGCTTCTAATCCGGAAGCTTCCATTTCAACGACTAGTAAGAGAAATCGCTCAAGATTTCAAAACTGATCTTCGTTTCCAAAGCTCTGCTGTTGCTGCTCTTCAAGAAGCTGCTGAAGCTTACCTTGTTGGATTATTTGAGGATACTAATTTGTGCGCGATTCATGCTAAGAGAGTTACGATTATGCCCAAGGATATTCAGCTTGCTCGTAGGATTCGTGGAGAACGTGCTTAGGGTTTCATAATCAATTAATTAATCATCTGTTTTTTAATGTTGTTATTAGTGGAATTAATGGTGGTTTTAGATGTGATTAGGATGGTTAATTGCTTAAAATAGGGTTTATGTTTTGGTACTTTTGGTTATGTAAAGGTTGTTCTTTAGATCTATCAATCAATGAAATCTGCGTTTTATCAACATTTTCTTCCGAATTTACGCCTAATTTCTCAACTGTTTTGATTTTCTAAATACGAAAGTTATGGAGATTGCGTTGATCTGTGAATCTAGAAAATCGACGGTTTATATGTTGTTGGTGCACAGTCAGTAGGATACGAGTGCGTCGCATAGTAATTTTCTCTTTTTATAATATTTTATATTATTTATAATTTTCAGAGATGAAAATAGGTTGCTAATGTGAGCGGTAAGTGAAAGTTTGGCGGGAAACACATTAAACCATTTTCTTACTTCGTTATACGATCTGAAATTGGAATCCAATTTTTTTTTCTAAAAACCCTAAAAAGTAGTAGGTTGAAGAAGAAGTTGGAGGAGAGAGAAAAGCTTCAAATGGATCGATATGTTGTGCCAATTGAATCTTCTACAAACCCTAAGTCAATTAGAAGGTAATTTAACATTTTTTTATTTGCTTTTTGTTGATTTTGTTGGTGTTAATTGATAGATTTACTGGAAGTAGTTTGATTTTGTTGTTGATAATTGATGGATTTACTGGAATTAGCTTGGTTTTTCTGGTGATAAATGCTAAAGTCACTGGAATTTGTTTGATTTTGTTGGTGATAATTGGTAAATTTACTGGAATTGGTTTGATTTTGTTGTATCTGAAGGCCTCGTTGGAAGAGGACTGCAATTGAATTGAATGGCTGTATTGAATCTAAATACAAGCGCGTAATGTGTGGATTATTGGTTCAATCTTACTCTCAGGTTGGAAAATATAGTATAAAGATTGTGAACTGTTTGCTGTTTTGGTTGGTTGTTCATTGGGTTTTGTAGAGATTGCTTTTTTTAATTGGTGTTCTTTTGTTGTTTAAAGATTGGCGTGTTTCCTCATCTGTATCATATTGATGGACGTCCTTGTCAAACTCATGTATGTTTTCTCGACTTTGTCTAATCATATTTTTCCAAGGCAACAAGGAACTTCATATTTGATTGGAACTGTGGTCAATCTCATGCAGATGAATCGAGTAATGTCGTTTGCTGGCTTGGATCATCAAGGGTCCTTTAGAAGGTTTGTGTATTTCTGTTTACATAGTGTAGGTGTTGTATAGAGTATGTGGTATTGAAGTTCTACTTGACTTGTTGCTGTATTTTAGTCGTGGCATGCTCTGTGATGCGTGGAGTCTGATTTGATTCGATGAGAAAACATATACTAGTATGGAGTATGTCTATTCTTTCCAACGTAGTCCACCTGGTTTGATGGATTGTTTCTCTCTCGCATCCCTCATATCATTATATTCCCTCCTGAATTAGTGAATAGATATGGAACCTTATATGTTCACAGCTACAGTTCTGTTTAGTTAATATTGGGCTGTTGCTGCTGTAATTTTGCTGCTATCTGCCTAAATTTGCAATGCAAGCACTCATTGTGATATCATTTTCTATGTATTTGCCACTCGTCACCTTTATATCTCTTCTCCCCTGCTGTGCCTTGTTCATCAAAAACTACTTTTGCCTTGTCATTTTTTTTTTTTTAATGTATTTGTTCAAATGAATATGTTTCTTCCTTGTTCAAATGAATGCCTTACTTCCTTGCAGGCATGGTGTATCTGCATTAGAGTTTGATAATCAGGTAACATATGGACCAATATCATATCTCAAGTTGTTTTCCAAATCCTGGCTAGATTGATGTATAATTGGAAATAGTATTATTATCCTATACTTTAGTTCTATTTGTGACTTGAAACATCTTGTTCTCTCATCGTTACAGAACTTACGTGAAACATTGCTAATGGGGCCTATTGCACCTGTTTCATCAACCAAAGCACAAAGGTGTAGTTGATTGTGTCATAGCTTAGAGTCATTTTTTTTTCAGAATGTAGGAAACATGAATCTTTCAAGCTGTTTCATTGAAATTTGGATTTTATAAAATCGCACTAGACTTGCTTATGCAGTTATGCTATTGTGTGATAGGCTCTTTTATGGACCTTTCATGCTATCTTATTGAAGTTTGGATGTTAGAGGCATACGATATTGTGTGATAGGCCTTTGTATCCAGAACTGAGCTATGTACTTAAAACTTAGTTTTAAGAGTATATTTTACTTTGCATGATTTTAGTTATAATTTCTTGTTACTGGCACTTTATTTTATTTTATTTTTTATTATTTTTTTACTTTTTATTCATTTATTTATTTATTTATTTCTGTGGTTTTCTATTTTCTTATTTGCTCTACAATAGGGGATATACTTAGCTTCAGTGACAAAATCTGGCTGTTTGATGGTGCACGACTTTGAATCTCTTTACTGCCAAAGTAATGTGACATCACCATGTAAGTTTCTGATAAATTTTGGTCAGTTGACTTAATCTCAAGATGTTTCTATGATGAGGTTATAATTTATGCTGTAAGAGGCTATCAGGTTCAGCTCTCATGTAGTCATCTTCCAATTGAAATCGTTCATTTGAACATCGAGTCTCCCCTCTCCCTTGTGTCTGTGCTTCATTGTTGTGCATTTTTACTACCTTATACAGAAACTTGATTATCTATCTGCAGGGTGGAAGGAGGATGAAACAAAGCATCTTTTGCACATATCTACAAGTAGGCATCTTGATTCTGTTAGATGGAATCCTGCTAACCAAGATGAGGTTGATTTTTATACATAATATATGCATTGTTCTGGCTTTTATCAAATTTGTGTTGGATGGATGCATTGGGTGAATACAACATGAACCAAAGTTGTTCAATGCTGTGCCTTACTCATTGCACTAAAAGCGTAAATTTTGTGTTTCGTTGCTTTATATCCTATGATTTCTAGCGATGCTTTTAAGCACAAAAACTCATAACACATGCTTACATTCTAGTTGGAAAGCATTGCATGACTGTTTTGCTAATTCACGTAATGTTAGTATACTCTGTTTTCTGCTTGATTTCTTCTTGGATCTGACATTTGCTGTGGTTCAACTGATTTCTACCTATGCTCCTAACTTCCTATGCACAAAAACTCTGAACACATGCTACATTATAATTGCAAAGCATTGCATGACATTTTGCCAAATAACTTAATGTTAGTTAACATACATTATTATCTGCTTATTATTTTTTTTTTCCTTTGATCTGACATTTGCTATTGCAATTTGCAATGGGCTTCAGGTTGCTTGCACATCACTGAAGAGCTGTGAAGTATTAATATATGACATTGGTTATGTCTCTTCCGACCCTGTTGAAGTAAGATTTAAGTGCTCTTCCCTTTACTCTGTTGAGGCTCCCAATATCCCAATATTTCAAAGATGTTTTTTGCATTATAGTTTGTGCGATATATCAATTTAATGTTGTCTTGTTATGTCCTTTCTTTATTTCATTCTTTCTTTCTGTTTTTGTAAAAATTCTTGGTATTGAGTTAAAGTCCCATGCTAGTGTAAACTCTACCCATGATATTGGTGTTTCTACTCATTCAGATTCTGACAAAGAGGGCTTCTGTCACTATCCATGGTTCTGATATCGTGACGGGTTTGTCAGATATAGCTTTTACATCAGATGATTCCAGGTGAGTTGACGTGTAGCTTAATTTCTAACAAGTTCACGTTTAGAGAAATTATGTGTTGGAAATTTTCTTTTTCCCTATCTAGTCCTCTCTCCAGAACCTATCTCGATTGATATGGTATTGGGTTGTTTGTATAGTTTGGTTTCCTGTCTTTGTTGGCCTTTTGAATCCTCCCTCCCCCGCCCCCCCCTCCCCCTCTCTCTTTGGGTGAGGCTAGGGGTCACCATTTAACTAAAATGTCAATTTAGGGAGTCAAACTGTCTAATTATGAATCTATTGCCACAAGTAGCTTCAGGAAGGTGTTTAGTGTTGATAGTCTTATTTCTCTTATTGTCTAAGGCACACTTAAGCTGCTACTGCAACTAGAATTAGTGACCATCAGATCAGAATAAGGCAACTTTATTTTTGTACAGGGCTCAGACCGACAACTTTGCTGGTCGACATGTGCTCTTTTACTAAACCATCTCATCCTGGTTGAAGTATTGGATTGATTGCTTCTATTGTGTTCTATGATATTGACAGAGTATTTGCTTCGGATACTTATGGTTCAATCAATATATGGGATAGAAGAAGAGGTAGTTTTCCATCTGTTGAGCTGACAACCAATTCCCACAATGCTCTGAACAGTATACAATTGAATGTCGAAAATCAGGTCTGTACAGAATTTTCTGGCCCTTGCGTTTGTATCATTTATGTTCCTAGTGATCCACCTCAAACATGAAATCTTCAAGTTTAAATTTATTTTTTAGATTGTTTACTATTATGCTATTATGGCATTATGCTGATGTTGAAAATGGCTCGTTCTGAAAAAACTGCACACGACTAATGATATATCCTACAGAAGAACTATGTATGTTACTGAATATATTATATTGATCATCAGTAGTTATCGTACTTATTTTGGTACCTCTTGAAGAATATCCACAAGTCAGAACGGAAAACCTTGCATATTGGACTGGAGGGGGGGGGGGGACCGTGCCATGGAACTAGATACATGAAATCGTCTTCTATGTTTATATTACTCCCTTTGTTTTTTTTATTTGCATCAGTTTGACCGGCACATTTGCCGAGACGCAACTTTGACCATTAATATTTTTAGTTGTCTATTAGTAAAAATTGTAACAAAATTATATTATGAAACTAGACATTATGACTAATCTAATGATATATTATATAATAACATTTATTTATTTTATAGAGGTGAAAAAATTAAGTCAACCATGGTATATGAATAGTGCAAAAATCAAAGTGATGCATTTAAAAAAAAAACGGAGGGAGTAATTCTTAAGGTAAGGGTCAAATTCATAAATTTTATAATCAGTTGTTGTATTGGATGTAGGTTCATAATTATCTACTTATGGAGTATGATACAGTTGTACAGTAATCAGTAGTATGATACAGTTGTACAGTAATCAGTAGTATGACTTACGCCTTTTGAGGCACTTGAGTCATAACACTGTCAACTTTAATACCATATAAGTATCAAAGTGCATAAAATGTGTAATACGTAGTATAAAATATTTACTTATTATATGTAAAATCAAGAAGTTTTAGGATTGAGAACTTAAGAGACTAGTAATCGATCTAGTTTATTGTCATAAAATGTCACGTTGGTGGTTGTTAGTATAAATGGCTTCTGATGTCTTTTAGAGTCTGAACCTATTCTGTTGATGTATACTTCGTCAGTTCATTATTTCTTCCATGGGGTCCCTTTAATACCTAATTTTAGTTTACTGGTTTCAGATTGTTTATGGAGCTGGTAAGCAGGGCATGATATATATGTGGGATCTTCGTGGTGGAAGAACATCAGCAGCTTTCCAGAGTCATAAAGAGGTTGAGCAAAAACAGCTTCTGATGCCAATCCCCTCACTTTTTTCGCAATGTGGACATTAGTAAATCATTGCAGACTCGCTATTATACTGGGTCTTAATTTTCATTGAACCACATTTATTGTATGGTAAAACCTTACCTAGAATAATACTCTAGGTCATTGTGAAGTACTGTCATAGGGATACATTATGAAAGGGGATTTTTGTGGATTAAATTGGTGATTTCCAGATTATTATGGGGCAGCTTTGGTTTTTATGCCAGGACAGAGCAGTGTTTTGATCATTGCAGTTTAATTTATGCTGTTTGTTGTGTTCACATATAGGCATATCATCCACCTATGGCATCAGTGAAGGTCTCATCATTGCTAGAGAAAATTAAGTCATTAAAGGTATTCAAAGAGGATACATCTTAAATTGCTGGGAGTGTAATTTAATCTGCATGCTGCTTTGTTTTTCTCAATCTTGTGCAAACAATTTACACGAAGGAGATGTCTGATAATTGTGTTAACATGGATGCACATCCTTTTGCTAAAATTGAAATATAACAAATGAGGATTCTGTTTGTTGAAACTTGTTAGATCTCTCAGCCATGTTTCATATTTATTCGCAGGCGCAATCGCATATTGTTCCCAAGGATATACACTCGATCAATTTGGATCCCACTTCTTCTTATCGTTTGGCATTCCACCTTGATGATGGATGGTAGGTTTTTAAATAGTTATCCTGTCTCTGGATGCATTAGAAACTTTTCAAATTTTGATTGTTATATCCATCACTAAGTCCTTCATGGTTTTTTAATCAACAGTTACCTAGTTAAACTTTGTGGTAAAGAAGTCAATCTTCGAATCTGTACAAGAATTTTTTATCTTGACCTTGAATAATAGTTTACTTTGACCTTACTATAGCATATTCTATCCAACTCAGTCATATTGATTTGAAATTTTACAGGTCGGGCATTCTTGACCTACATACATTAGAAGTGACACATATCCATTGCCCTCCACCAGCCTGGTTGTGAGTACATCTCCCCATCCAAGTTGTAGTGACATTAAAATTGCTTCTAATGGACAATTTTTTTTTATTCATTTGGAAATTTAGGACTGGCTCAGACATAACCAATTTATCGTACTTCATAAAACCATCCTGGCTATCCACAAATTCAGTAAGACTTTCTTTCAATATATTTGGAGATAACTTTGCATTTGACAATTCATGAATCTATGTCATGCTCACTGTATAAGTAGTTCTTTATATTGGTTTTGATCCAATGCCCTCCTTGATCAGATATATGCAGTTGGGTCTGCATCAGATAAAGGACTACACCTTCTAGACTTCTTTCCTGATCCTAGTTCTCCCTGCCATGTGGACTGCAGGTACAGAATCTGATTGTCTTTGGGTGAATCCTGAACGTTTTCATGGCTATGTTTTGATATTCACTTTCTGTTTACTGCTTAGTGAGGAAATGGTGAATAGTTCCAGGCAAAACGGTTTTATTCCTCTGTCAGAAGATGTTTCTGCTTGTGCTACACATCCACAAAATGGTTTCATTGTAGCTGGCACCAAGGTCTGCTCTCTTGTGCTTTGCTTTTTAATTTTCTCTAAGTGTCCATGGTTTACTTTCTTAATTAACCAAGCACTTGAAAGATTGTCGCATTGTGCCTGTTTCTTGAATTAATCAATCCATTTAGCTCTGTGAAAAATTTTAACATTGAAGAAATTTCATTGTTGAACTGCCCATAAGGCATATGACTACGTGAGTACCCAAGGGGTGAAAGATGGTGCTTTGGTTCGGGCCATCTAAAGCATTGAGAGCCCCAATTTGCTTTTCAACAATTGTTTGATTTAGTTTTCTCATATTTCTGCATTTGTTTGGTTTTAGCAAGCATCTTTGCTTATGATTGGCCAAAGAAAGAAGAGCTTACATGGGGACGAAGGTCCTTGAAACAATTGAACCTTGTGGAAATGATATAAGACGGACTGTCAAGACCTCAAGCAGCAGATCCTTGCCATGATCAACAGCCATGATGCTTTCGAATTTCCGAAAGTCACCTCCTTTGAAAGTGTAAAATGAGCATGTCATTCAAGGGTTGAAGTCAGTTGGAGTTCTGGGAAGAATTATCAGCTTCTATTGCCAAAGAAAGTGCAAAATACAAGACTTGATTCATAACTTTGGATGGTGAATTCATCTTCTGCTTCTTCATCATTTGTCCTCCACGTCATTCATCATGTATATTTGGAATTGTATCAATCTAACAAAACTTTGTTGTAATGGCCACAATAGGTTTATGCTTTAGGAAAATATAACACGGTTCAATTGCACAAGTAGTTGCAACTTGCAAGATAGTGTAACATTGTTGGCAAAGAAAAAGATGCAAGATAGTGTAATATTGTTGGCAAGTAAAATATAACATGGTTTCATTGCACAAGTAGCATAAAAGATGCATGTACATAGGGAATAATGAGAGTTCAAGTAGTGTTGCCTATTCAATAATAACAAAAGGATCAAATAGAATTATTGGTATTATATTTTTTTTTTGATTAAAATTATATTGCCATATTGGTAGTATGATTGTTCATCAATCATCATTTATTTTGTATATTTAAAAAAACAAAAAAAATTACCATTAGTCTGGTGTGCACTATAGTTAAGGATTGTAGTGACGGTGCTAGAAATTTCAAATCGGGAAGACAAATGTATGTCGCATAGTTTGACATATATGTTGGAAAAAAGTTCAATACTTGACCACATAGTTCTTTAAATCCAATGTACTTTAAAAAAAAATCTACATCATATACAAATTATTCCTCTGCATGTAGAGGGTTCAATCTCACATTGACAAGCTTAACTTGTGGGGGCTTTACCACTGATCTAGATTTTTTTTTTTTAAAATTCAAATGAGGTTACAGACACCATTAATAAGAGAAAAAATAAACCAAGAAAAAATGAAACAACAAACAACTAAAAAACTACTTATGGAGGAACAAGTCGTCCTCTCACATGCTCCTCTAAAATACGACTAAGATCATCTAGATTATTGTACATACTATTGAGCATGAAATAACAATTTTCTGATATCAAGTTGATTTTTTTTTAAAGTGGGGGGTTAGCATCCCCTCTTGTCCCGGGCTAGCTCCGCCCATGAGAATATGTGCTTGTTTGATTGGGAAAATAGGCAATCATAGGAATTTGCAAATAAGCTATTGTTTGATTCCTAGAAATTCAACATCTTTGTTAAATTAACAATTTGATTCAATTGTCACTCAAAATAAAGTTAAAAAAAAAAAGGAAAATCATATAAATAAAAGAAAAATCACCCACCATGTTACCCAAACTCAAATAAAGAGTTGTGAGCCGAGCCCAAGTTACCCCAAGCTCGGTCTCTACTCGACTTGTTATCACCCCTACAAGGCTACAATAGCATAATATAGTTACTGAGGTAGCACCGTAAGTTGTAAATAACTCTGTAAATTGAGCGGTTCAGTCTCGCTGTTTTCTCCCAATTCCCGCCAAGGTGAGTGTATGAACTGATATTCATCTTCCTTCCTCTCTCTCTTCTTCATCTATCTGCTTCAATAACTATTATTTCATCTTAATTTTGAATTTTCGTGCTACATGTTACCTTAATTAGGGTTTTATGACGACTTATAAGATGAACAATTCTGAAATTGAAGTCGATGAAACTCTCAATCATGCTTAGGGTTTATGTTTATGATCGACGACATTCTTCGCGGTTTTATTGACATTATTCATTCTACTTGAATTTACTTGTATGATAATGAAAAATTGTCGAATTTAGGAATTGCGTTCACTATTTTCAATCTGTGTGTTGTAAATTCAATTGTCGATGCACTTTTGCTAATAGTAATGTTTCGCTTAAAAAATCGTTGTGTTTTGATTTTTTATATCAAGTTGTTAAATCTGTAGTGATATTCAAGAATGGTTATTTGTGTATCTAGATATCGAAATCGAATTTAGGATGGAAAGCCGAAACAAAAAGTGATGTAGTGTTACTTATTAATCTGAAACCATATATAGGAATTAATCTTCAATTAGGTTTTTCAGAATTGGAACTGGATATCAGCTAAATCATATGAGCTATATAGTGTTTGGAGGATGTCATTCCCAAGTACCCTGGGTTTTATAATTGCTATCAACGGAAATGATTCTGTGCATCTACCGAAAGGACTACTGCTCGAATATGTTATTCCATCTTATGTTAATTTTTCTGCCTTTTTGGTTGTGCTTGTTATGTCTGAATTTCTGTAAAATCTTCCTTTTGGTTTTCCAGGTTCTGAATAAAGCTGTCGAGTCAAGAAAAGAGGTAGAAATGGAGTTGAATCTAACTTTGGTAAGCAGATGCTGGTTTTTTTTTTTTTTTTTTAATAATCTTTTTGCCTATTTCAACCTATTTTGCTGTTTGCTGCTTCTTTTTCTGTGTATGGATTCTGCCAATTTAATATAACTTAAGTGTATTTGGAGCACATTACTGATTACTTCTCTGCTGGTGCTTTTCTTAGAAGGCTAATTTCCTGCTTCTAGATGTATTAACTACTTCATCACTAGGGATTTTACTGATTGCAACTGACCACCACAGGCCGTCAAATTCAGAACTAATTGCTTGTTTGCTTGTTACTTCTAGATGTATTAACTACTTCATCACTAGGGATTTTACTTCTAGATGAAATTTTCCTGCTTCTTTGCTTGTTGGTTTCTTTCTTCTAGTCACTTAACATATCTTTAGTGTGGTGTGAAACTATGGTTGACACTTTTGATGCACAAACACGTTTCTTCCCACGATTGTTGTTCGATATCTAAGGCTGTCAAATACAGAACTAATTGCGTAATATGCTTAGCAGAAGAGGTAGTTATATGCATCAGTATATAAAGTTGCATTCATGTTTCTTGTGGGTTGGTCTAGTTGAGATTTATCCTCTTGTGTAGTTAGGAATGAAAGTTTTAGATTATAGAATCTACCAAGTTGCACCAAATGCTCCCTTAATATGATCTGAAGGATTCATTTTTCAATTTTTTATTATAGGACTATCAAATATTTCAAGCAAGTGTTGTCTTTCTACAATGTCATTTATTACTCATATGCATGATGATTTTACTAATACCTTGTTCTGCAATTTTTAGAACCTGCTAGGCTGCTTCTTTTAGCACCTACTTGTTTATTCATAAAATTTTAATGTGTGGTGGAGGTATATCGTATGGCATCACTAACACATTTAGCAAGAAACCAAATTTTATGTAAATCTGGTGCAAGGAGCTTCCTTTTTATTATGCCAGCATTAATTTGGTTTGTAGTTTATCAATAATTGAGCTAAAGGTTATGCCAAGGCATGGCTAAATAACCTTGCTGCGATGGAATAAATAATATTTAACTAATGAGCGGTTTTGCTGTTTATTATTCACTAAATGTTAGCAACTCTTTTGTAATTTGTGAGTTGGAACTATAGAAAATTTGTCACTTGTCAATCCTTGGGAGGGAAGTATATAAAGACATTGTCGTGTTTGCCTTTTTTTTTTTTTCTTTTTCTTTTGTGGTTGCTTGGATCATTTTAGTATATAGTTATTTTCTTTCATCTGGTTTGAAGATGATGAGTAAAAAAAAATACATCTTTTGGGTTTGTGGAAGTCAAGTCTTATAACTGTGATTTCTGTTATTTATGTTTTTTTTTTTCCCTCTTTAGGATCTATGCAGCTATATACTTATGGCTAATTGCACTTTATTAATCAGCATCTAGGCTATACTTATTAAGGTGCTACAGTAACAAAACTACGTGTGGCCAACATATTTAGATAAGTAAAGTAGGTATACTCTTACCTGCAGTGGAAAGTGTTAATCAATCTTGTCTGCAGCAAATTGGATCTTTTTGTGCTGAACTTGTTAATGTACTTTACAGTCAAAGATCTTAGCTGCTTCCTTTGGTTAACATATACTTTTAATACATTTTCTTCGTTAAGCTTAGATGCATTATATTCTATATAATAAGGAACATTGATTAATCTTCTGGTTTAAAATACTACTGTAGAATTTTCTTCACAAAGTTGAAACTCCAGCTAATATATGTAGCATGATTATCCGGAGCTGTGTCCATTATAGCACTGAATATCGATGCTATTATACTGCTAATATGGAGTTTTGCTTCCTCAATCCTCAGATACCGATTATTGGTTGAAATATGTATTCTCAACAGCAATTTGACAAGAGTTCTGTATTGGTATCAAGAAAATTGTGTTGCGTCTGTTTATGTGAGATCCTATCATAACTTTCAATTCACTTTAAACCTTATATGTGTAGGTGTAGGATAATAATGTGCGCCTTGTTAGCCATGTGGTGTAAACTAAGCATTCCCTTGATCTGAAGGGGCTGTGCTCTGTGTACTATCAGGGGACAAGTGTGCGAAGAAATATAGCGAGCTTGGTGATTGATATTCTAGAAACTATGTGCTATCATGTCAAATTGTTACTTCTCTTCTCCATTTATTGGACAAGCTATAAGGAAGGGGATAAGGGGGTAGGTAGACCCTCTAAGGGGAGTAATTCACTCTTGCCAGGCAGCCATAGGTTGGAATCGTTGAAGGGGAGCTTAGGTGCTGCCCAGATTATTGTGTGACCACTGTGACATTGTTATATATCAAGAGACTTTACTTCACTACAACCAAAAGTTTCGTAGTGAATACAAATCTATGTCAATGGTGTGAGTTGTGGAAAGGCTAGACCTGGGTTCTATTCTAATTGCTGGTGTGTGTGTGTGTGTGGGTGGTGCTTAATCGCATAGTTTCCTAGCCCTAGGGGTTGAATGAATCTAGTTATTTATACACTAGCAGATATGTTTGTAAAGATTAAATCCCTTGTTTCATTAGACATGCATTTAAAGTTAAAGCCTCAAATTAAAGAGTTTCCATTTTGACTTGTATTTGAAACCAATTTTTTTTATTCCTCTCACAAACCCTCTGTTGTGTAACGAAGGACGTAGCAATTTATATTCTACTAGTCTTTACTTTCGTTCGTGGGTCACTTGCACATCACCAACGGTAAGCATTATGAGACTTGCTAAATCAAATCTGGCAGGATCTTCTTAGCCATATATAATTAATATCTTGCATCATTTTCAGCATTTAGTTAGGTTTTTTGAATTAACATGGTGTCCTGGTTATTCATTGTAGTGATCATGAGATTGTGATTTTGCCTTTTCTGGTTCCAATGCAGGTTCTTGGATATGCCCATAGGTATCGGATCTTCTGTAAGATATTAAATTTTGATCATTTAATGCCCGCCTAACATCTCTACCTTAATTTTCTTTGTAGAATGGTACATTTAGGTACTTAAATCCTATAGTCCCCACGTTAGAAAGCATTTATATCCTAAAAAAGAAATTGTTTTGTTTACGTAGAAAAGTCAGCTGTATTCTACAACTACTGCTGTCATACAACCCGCCAGGGTAACGGTCAGAGTTCAACTAAGGTTTAGGGGAGGGATGGTGCCTTTTTATCATAACCAAAAAAAAATAATTATCCATGGAAGGGTTAGACTGACCAACTCCAAGAGCTTTAGAGATGAACTTTTATGTACAAGCCTTGATGGTAGTCATTTGCATATATAGTATTATATATTTCGTATTAGACTTGGTCACTTGGCAAACCCCTGTTAATAGGTAATCAATAGTTGAAAGTTACAATATCAAGCAGTGTGTCTCTTAGTGACGGCATAAGCGTATTGTTTTGGCCCATGTGAATTGATTTGGCTATATCACCAATCACCATACCTCTGCTGTCCTACCTCAATTTACGATTAATTATTGCTACAACGGCTTGAGGAAATAAATATAGGCTGTTACGTCACTGAGTATGTGTGAGAAACTTTGTGAAGTGTGAGCTTCTTTTGGTTAAAGCTTCCTTTAAGAATAAGCAAGGTAAGGAATACAAAAAACACTACTCCGTATTTGGTAGACTAATGTATTGAAGTACTCGTATTACCTTTTATTAATTGTGTCTAGAGGAGATAAACATTCTGGAGAATATGACAAGATGCTTTATCCATTGTCAAACTACGAGTATTATTTGCAACTTTATGAATGGAAGTGTGCAAGATTATTTCTCTGCTAAAGGCTGATGTCAGTAGCTTCTCTGATTCCATTTCCATTTCAGGAAAAGAAAATAAGACACTTGTTCTTTGAGTGAATTCTTTTTCTCATGCCTTACAAGGCATCATTTAGTGGAGGTCATTCTTGAGTGGTATCGTGGTGATTGAGACATGTGCTTCATGTCCATATAGTGCGTGGGGAGATTCTAGGAAGGAAACTTGCCCATTACTTAAAGTTAATGAAAAGTATGATACTAAAATGTAGATTAAAAGGCTTTTGAGTAATAGAAAACAGCAATCCATTTTTCTTCAAAGGGGTGTGTGTGCTAAGGTTATATGGTAAAACAGCGTTGGCCCATATTCGAGAGCCAATAAAAGTAAATTTGGGACGAGCAGTTGTTTAATACGGGATTTACAAACCCTAGTTAATTGGAGTAATATTTCTAAAGTTACGCAAACAAAAAATTTACATCTCAACACCAATGTTCCAAAACTATATTGTTTCTCTAGTTTTTGCAAGTTTCCTTGTTTTCATTATCATTTTTTTGGGCTGCATATTTCTTTATGTAGATATATTATCTTTCAATTTGCTAAGTTACAGCTCAGGAAAAAAGTTTGAATGATACCAGTTATGTATAATATTAAATGCAATACGTTGGATAGCTAACTGATTTCTATTTTATATGACAGATGATACTACAGGACAAAGTCGGCTAACCATCAGTGAGGAATCTCTCCCCACATTCTCGGAATAGTATAATAATCACTACATGCCTAATTTCTACACATAATGATATGTGTACACGTGGATTGTTGCCTATACAATTGCTTTTGGCATAAAATGGATCTAGATCTTACCTAGGAGACAATAGTGGTACTTTTTTTTTTTACCTTCCTTCCATACCCTGATTATGTAAAGCATACTCTATTGTCCATCTTTTCTCTGTTTTCCTAACTTCAATTTGTGTTCTTGTATTTCAGTGAAAAAAGAGGAGAATCAGCCCACCATGGGTTTCTGCTGTCTTTCCACCGCAGCTTCTGTACTGCTGGAGCAGTCTTTTCGTAGTTCGTTGGCTGGCATCAACTATCTTGAGCATGTACACTTTGCTCGATTATCAGCGAGGTTCTGGGGATTAATTCATCAAAAAATTAAAAACTTATGAGACAGGACGAACTAAATGTTAGGGGACTAACAGGGAGTGAATGTCCTTAGTACCCTTACGGGCCTTAACGAAATGTTGATAGGGTCATCATGCTCCATGTTACTTACATAGGGAGTAATTGTTGGGAAATTAAAAAGACAAATGAAATGCATTTTGGCCAACTTTTATCAACTTTAAATCGTACAAAATAACTTTTTAGAGATTGCTTTTGAAAGGAAAGGTGGATCTTGTGAGGTTTGTTATGCGGGAAGATGAAAATATAGATAAGAAAAGTGCTCACATATTAAGAGGGGACCATATTTTTTAGCTTTTTAATTTGGCAAGATCGAAAATTTTCCTCCCTAATTTTTGCTAAATAAAGCAATTCTACATTTGTATTCTATAATTCATTTACAAGTCTGAAATTGATCATTACCTCAACATGCTTCTGAAGCTCTTTGATATAATCAACAGCCAAATCTAGCATGTCTGCTGTGTTTGTTTGCTGCAAGGAGACAGTATTTTGATTGTGTTGAGTCAAAAATACAATCAACTAGCACTAATATATTTTAGCATAGGGACTAACCTTATCCATGTTGGGAACTAGATCTTGAAGCTTCCTCATCCTTTCACTTATCCTAGTTCTTCTTACCTATAAATTAGTATTGACAAAACCATAATCAAATAGAAGGATATGTCTAAAACTATTCCAATTTTGAAAGTAAAATCAGTTCTCACCCTCTCAGCAATGCTTCTTGGGTGAGTGGCGCATCCTCTCTTAGCCCTGATTCTGAGAGGTGTTGAGTCTTGGAAATGCAGGAATCTCTCCATATTTGACAGTTCTGGTAATGTCTTTGGTAGACTCAGATGATGAGTCAATGGCGGAGGTCTGTTTTTAATTTCTCCATCCTGAAAAATAACCCAATTCATAAAATATTAACTATACTAAAAATTCTGATTAAGAGGTAAAAATCATAGGAGAGAAGATTTAATACCTGATTTTCTGATGCATTTAGCTCAGGAAATACCTTTATGTCCTCATCTGCAACTCTATCTAAGCCTGAGAAATTTTCTGACAAAATTGAATCATCCCATGAATTCATGGGGAAGTCATAGTTGCTGTCATCGTTGGGGTTGTTGCCTGAATTGCTGAATTTTCTTTCATCTAGGCTATTCATCCTTAATCTTTTTGCCCCAACATCTGAGTTTTGATTCACCAGTTCCGAAGTTGAAGAGGGTTGTCCCGATGAATAATTTACTTGAACATTACTACCCCCATAATTCCGCATTCCTCCCATCATGCCATAACCTGTCATATGCTATCATACTTTAATACAAAAGCTGAAAAAAGCAAAGCTTGAAAATTTACTGAATTTCAGATCTGTGTGAAAGGCGGTCAAGTTTGTGTTTTTTTTTTGGATAGTTAAACCAATAACCAAGAGGGAACTGAAGAGTACCAGCAGTATCAATGTTTAGATTTGCAAAAAATCCAGCCGGGGAGCTGCTATGCCTTGTGAGGCCGGAATTACTATTGTTGATGCCCCCACCAATTCCAGTCTTCATATGGGGTATGGAATCTATCCCCATTGAACTAGCAGCTGCTGCCCTAAATGTGTTTTGCATTGCTGAACTGACTGCTGTATTGTGGTGATTTGACAAAGGTGGTTTTGATTGGCTATGATACATCATCTGAGATTGATTGTTGTAATTACCCTGCTGCGGCTGCGGCTGCTGCTGGTGCTGCAACTGTTGTTGAATATCCGTTTCTTGCTTAACCCTCACTGTAAACTCAGGTTGCACTGCCACGTTTTCTGGTATGTTGCTTAGTTTTTGTGATGAGTTGTCTTCTTCACCGATGCTGTTCATGAACCTGGCAAAGATGCTTTCTGTTTCAGGACTTAGTGGTCTAGCAGCTGGAAAGTCCCGCCTCTCTCCTCCTACCCCGCCACTAACACCACCAATGGCAGTGGCAGTGACAGTATCAGCAGCAGCATCAAGAAAACTTGCAAAATATGAGCTCGGTGCTGACCGGAAGCGAGTGAGACCGTTGGTTTGTTGCTTTTGCTGGTGAAACTGTCTTGGGAAATCTTGGAAATGATGTTGGTATTGCTGCTGCTCTGAATCCATCTCTCTCTCTCTCTCTCTCTCTCTCTCTCTCTCTCTCTCTCTCTCTCTCTCTCCCTTTATTCAGACCTCAGTTCTCTTTAATTTTCCCTTGTTCTAGATACCCTCCTTAGTAAAAAAAAATATAAATGCAAAAAACACAGGAAAACAGGGTAAAATAGAACCCAATTCGACCTGATCACATAGTCATACCATATCTATACCTACAGACTTGTGGCTGAAAACAAAACACTTTGGGCAAGGAATTTTACATGTGAACCCAATGAAAAGCCAGTGAATAACAAGCAGAAAACACCAACCCACCTTTTCTTTCCACCTCTCTTTTCTCTCTGAGCTGCAAATCTGTTTTTCTGCAGTAATCTATTACTCTGTATTTCTCTACCTTTCTTTAGCTCTTTTGCTACTACTGAAGATTATGATTGCGATTATGGAGGGGAGGGTAGATGCTGGTAAAAGATCAAGACAGAGAAAATAGTTGACATAAACCAATTTTTTTTTGTTGTCTATAAGGAGTAGCATTTGCTTTTAGATTTGGGTGTTCTAGCAGGTTTCCA